GCACAAGCCTTTTATCTCAACAGGCAATGGGAGGCAGATCTCTGAGTTCAAGTCCTGCCAGGGCTACATAGTGAGACCTTATCTATCTTCTCAAAAGAAAAAGGAAGGAAAATTCCTACTTCCTCCCCTTGCTTCTGCTTTCTTCCATCCAAAAACATAGAAAGTAGTCTGTCTTGGTTATCTTTTACTAGCAAATAACTTAACACAGAGTATGCCAGTTTTCTAAGGACTTTCTACATTTATTTAAGATGGATGCAATTCAGTGAACATTTGTTATCCTAGGCTATGTGCAGTTAACTTTTTTCCTAGTTGTAAAATGAGAAACCTTATACTTTGTTAAGGATAGTTAAGGCTTGTAGAAAACGTCTGGGAGTTTAAAGAATTGAAGAATCTTAGATGATGCTGTGTTTGATCTAAGATGAAGTCTAAAATGTACTTAGTAATGGACTTTGCTACCTGTATCAGTTACTTTTCTTGTTGCAGCAAAGGACCTGACTAAAGCAGGTAGGAAGAGTTTATTTTAGATCACAGCTTGAGGTAACAGTTTGTCGGGGCAGTAGGAACATGAAGCAGTCCTGGTCTCATTGTGTCCCAAAGTCAAGAGGCAGGCTGCTGCTCAGCGATCTTTCTCTTTTTTTAAATTCAGTCCACCACTGCTCTCAGCCCAGGCAATGGTGCCATCTCAGTTAATCTAATCTAGGAACAGGGGCCAGGGGCTTTTTTCCATGGTGATTGTAAATCCCATCAAGTTGACTATCAAGATTAACTCTCACCCCTAACCAGGCTGCTTTTTGCCTACTGTGGGAATGAAATCCTTGAGAATCATAATGGTTGCTGGAATCAGAGAGGCATATTTTTATTGTGGAATAGAATTTGGAACCTGTTTCTGTTTCTGAGGAAAAGTTCAGGGTGTTTTGTTTTGTTTTTTCTTCTTTCCTCTATCCTTTAATCTCTTACATGCTTTTCTGGAATGGTAAAAAGTATTTTTAGGGGCTGGAGAGATGGCTCAGAGGTTACAAGCACTGACTGCTCTTGTAGAGGACCTAGGTTCAAATCCAACTACCCACATGGTGGCTAATAATTGTCTGTAACTCCAGTTCCAGAGGATCTGACTGACGCCCTCTTCTGACCTCTGCAGGCATTGCAAAATGTGGGTGCACCTCATTGCATGCAGGCAATACATTCGCACATAAAAATAATAAAAAATATATTTTTAAAGTATTTTTAATCATGTGTATATGTGTATTTATGTGCATGTGATTGTAAGTGCCTGTGAAAGTATGTATTTGAGTGTTTTGCTACATGTATGTAAGTGCATCTGTGTGTACTTTGTCCACAGAGGCCAGAAGAGAATGTTGGATCTCCTGGAACTGTAGTTATAGTCAGTTGTTGGCTGCCATGTGGATGCTGGGAACCAAATCCAGTTCTTCTGCAAGAACAGCCAGTGCTCTTAACCATTGAACCATCTCTGTAGCCCCACTTTAAAACTTTGAATTAGAGACTAAATTCTTAAGTGGGGCTAAACTCTGATGTTTTGGAGGCATGCTGAAGTTTAAGAAAGAATTTTTTTTTTAAGTTTAAATATTTTTTATTATTTTTTTATGTGTATGCATGTATTACCTTTGTGTAGGTAAGTGCACCTGTGTCGTGCAATACCCGAGGAGATCAGAAGAGGCTGTAGGATCCCTTGGAACTGGAGTTAGGGACAGTTATCTGCTATGTGGGTACTGGTATTCAAACCCAGCTCTTCTGCCAGAACAACCATTGTTCTTAACTGCTGAGCCATCTCTCCAGCCCCAAGAAAGAATCTTAAATCTGTCTCCTGTACTCTCGTTCATGAATATATACCCACACACAGACACAAAAAATATAAAGCCAGGCGTGGTGGTGCACGCCTTTAATCCCAGCACTCGGGAGGCAGGGGCAGGCAGATCTCTGTGAGTTCAAGGCCAGCCTGGTCTACATAGTGAGTTCCAGGACAGCTGGGGCTGCAGGGAGACCCTGTCTCAAAAAGACCAAAAAAAAAAAAAACTATATATATATAGTTTGCTGACTTCTATGAGTCCTGGTAGTAGCATTAGTTCTGGATCTGTTTTTATACTGATTTCTAATTTGAATTCTCAGTGGAGAAAGCTGTCCTCCATGCCAAAATTGAAAAAGAGCAGACATGTTTTTTTTTTCCTTTTTAAAAATGTTTATCTTGTAGCCGGGTGTGGTGGCTCATGCCTTTAATCCCAGCACTTGGAAGGCAGAGGCAGGCAGATCTCTGAGTTCTAGGCTAGCCTGGTCAACTGAGGCCAACTGAGGCTACAGGGAGACCGGGTCTCAAAAAAGACCCCCCCACCCCCTAAAATTTTTATCTTGTGTGCCTGTGTATGTGGTGAGGCAAGCATGTACGAATACACTCCTTATGTGGAAAGATCAAAGGACATTTTGCAGAACTCTCATGTCTCAGCCTTGATGGCAGGTGCCTTTACTGAATAAGCCATCTCATCAGCCCCCAGACATTTTTTTATTCTTCCCTTTTAAGTAGACAGCTTCGAAGTTTTGACTTCTGAAAGATTGTCAGTGATGTCTTCCAGCCTTCCTGAGAGCATCCCCTCCCAATCAATCATTTTCTGCTTTTCTCCCTTTTTCTAGATCCTTGATTATTTTTCCCTTTGTGTCACTCACCCCCTTCAGAAAGTATGCTGTAAGCCATTATTTTTAGATATTTATATTGTGTTCACTTGTAGTTATGATTGTCAGAAGTCTTTAGTGTTTATCAGAATTTATAACTTTTTTTCACTTGAAAAAGTTAATATTGGGGCAACACATAAATTGCAGAAGGTGGTACCCACCTGTAATTCTAGCACTCTGAATGAGGAAGCAGGGAAGCTCAAGTCATCCTCAGCTGTAGAGCAAGTTGGAGGCCAACCTGTGCTACATAAGACCTTGTCTCAAAGAAAGCAAAAGAACAGTCTCACTATAGCCTGGAGCACGGCATAAAGCAACTGGCTTCAGCTTAGCAATAATCTTGCCTTTATGACCTAAGTCTGTAAAGTTGTGGGATTCCCAGAATAAAAACTGACCTTTTTGTTAAAATCAAGAAATTAAAAACAAGTGTATTTTAAGCCGAGTGTGGTAGAACACATCTTTAATCCTAGCAATTGAGAGGTAGAGGTAGGCAGAGATCTCTGTGACATCAAGATTAGCCTGACCTACATAGTGAGTTCCAGACCAGTTGGGGCTAGAAGGAGATACTGTCTCAAAAAAGTGTATCTTTCAGAGAAAATAGAAAATTCAGTGATGGAGAGAATCACAAAACATGGTTTCTTTTATATGTAATTTAGAAAGCTTTTTCAATTATAATGACAAAATTATACTAAGATTATTAAGATATTTCTAAGTGTAGGGGGTGGAATGACAGTTTGGGGTACCTCTCCTAACGAATTTGGAATGATCAAATTAACCAGTTAGCCATTTTTTGAAAAGAAAAATGTTTCATGTACCATAAGTTGGCCTTGAACTCACTGTGTAGCCAAGGATGACCTCAAACTCCTGATCTTCCCCCTTCACCTCCCAAGTGCTGCTGGGATTACAGTATAGATCCAACTCCATTTAGCAATTTGTTTGCTCCTACACATTTAAACAAAATCAGTTGGTGTTTTTTAAAATCTAACATTATAGAGGCTGGAGAGATGACTCAGTGGTTAAGAACGTTGGCTGTGCTTGCAGAAGACCTGGGTTTGGTCCTCAGCACCCAAATGATGCTAACAGTCCTATCATAACTCCAATTCCAGGGGATCCAATAACCTCTTCTGATCTCCACGGACATTGCTTGACATGAGTGCACTTACATACAGGCAAGCATAACACTCATACACTAAATAATTTTAATCTAACATTGTAGTATGTGGCCCTATATATTATTCTAAGGTTTTGATGTGTTTGTGTTCACAAGTATCAATTATTTTGTGACCAACCAATAGTACTCTAATGCCCAAATAATTAGAACTTGAAGTAGATTGGAGATGGGAAAGATGTTTTTTAAAAACCATATAGCCTTATCAGATTTTCAGCTAATTTAATTTTGACCATATTGGTGAAACTTAATTAGGAAATCAAAACGGGTGGGGAATAATCCTAGAGTTCATAATGCAGTTAAATGATCTTGTGAATTTTTAGCTACAAAGTCCATACTGTGACCTTTGAACATGTAGTGATACTCCCAAAGTGCTGTGACACTGTAATTAAGAACTGTTGATTTCAAGAACCTGGGGGCTGGAGAGGTGGTTCAGCACTGGCTGCTCTTGCAAAGGACGTAGATTTGGTTCCCAGCACCTAACGTGGCTGCCAACAACCATCTGTAACTCCAGTTCCAGAGGATCTGATGCCCTCTTCTGGCCTCCATGAGCATTACTTCGCTGCAGGTGGAATACTCATACACATGAGTTTGGGGGCTGGGGGGGGGTGGTTTTTGTCTTTCTGAGACAGTCTCCCTGCAGCCCCAGCTGGTCTGGAACTTACTATGTAGACCAGGCTGGCCTCAGTCTCACAGAGATCCACCTGCCTCTGCTGAGTGCTGGGATCAAAGGCATGCACCATGTCTGGAGTAGTTTTGGGTTTTTTTGTTTGTTTGTTTTTAATCTAGTACTACATAAAAGCTTATCGCACTGTTGTATACCTTACATTATCTGACATTTTATAGTGATTTTTGAAAGTGGTTTTTCACTTAATATGTACTATGTAGCTTTTTTCTTCTACTCTTAACCCCCACATTTTTTTTTTTTCTTTTTAATCTTTTTAAGACAGGGTCTTTGTATAGCCTCAACTGGCCTGGAATTCACTATACATACTATCACCACATTTTCTAAATTAGGGATTTGTAATTTAGATTGGTAGTGCATGTATATCACTTTACCATTTTATGGTAAATATATTTTTGAACACTTGTTACATATGTAGTAATGTAAAATCCTTAGGTTGTATTCAGTTGATCAATTTTGTTATGTTGGCAGAGTGAAGATAGTCCAAGTCCTAAGAGACAGCGCCTCTCTCATTCAGTCTTTGATTATACATCAGCATCACCAGCTCCCTCACCACCAATGCGACCATGGGAGATGACATCAAATAGGCAGCCCCCTTCAGTTCGACCAAACCAACATCACTTCTCAGGGGAACGATGCATCACACCTGCACGAAACAGAAGAAGGTTAGTTGATTACAATTTCTTTACTTTTCTTCTGTTGGTAGGCTTGTGAGTCTTTTTAATAACGGAAAGCTTTCATAAACACATCATATGCACGTGTATATTTTGTGCATAAAAATATTTTAAAATTGCGTAGGTTCCTATATTAGGTTATAAAAGTTTATTAAGCTCTAGGAATTGGCTAGGCAGTTAGGGTAAAAAGACCCCGAAGAAAAGTAGCCAGTTTCTTGGTTAAAAGTCAAGATGTCCTTGGGACTGTTAGCAACATACTCTGTTCCAAAGGCCAAAAATGTCAAAAGTATTTGGGAGCTTTTATCTAATCCTTAAAAGATTTTAGGGTTGCTTCTTCAGAGGGGGGAATGTTAGAGTAGCCAAAAGCCCCATAAAAATAAATAAATGAAAGAAGAAAAGAAAAAAGTGATAGGGAGATATGGGAAGTGTTGGGAGGGAGGAGTGGGCGTGGATTTGATCAAAACACCTTATATGCATGTACGAAATTCTCAAAAAAGTTTTTGTAAAAGTTAAAAGTTTATTAAGCTCATTAAGTAAAGAAATTGAAAGAAACTGCAGTGACTTATCTAATACCCACAAAGCCCTATATTCAATCCCTAATGGCGGGGGAGATTGGGGGGACCAGTCCACAATCCTGATTACTGAAAAATGCATTCTGCAGTTCATAAGAACTATCAAAAATCTTAGAAATGAGCTACGCTTACCTGTTCCATTCTTATTCTTCTATCTTCTAAGACAGCCAAGCACTTTTGCTCTTCACAAAACTATTATGAAAGAATGGCTGACAAAAACAAACGCACTTGCCAAGCGTGGTGGCGCATGCCTTTAATCCCAGCACTCGGGAGGCAGAGGCAGGCGGATCTCTGTGAGTTCAAGGCCAGTTTGGTCTGCATAGTGAGTTCCAGGACAGCTAGGGCTACAGGGAGACCCTGTCTCAAACAACAACGAAGTGATAACTCCTTATGGAACAATTCCATTAATAAATGTTGACATGAAGGTAATAGAAAAATCACCATTAGAGCAACACAGTAGCGATTTCTGCAGATCCATCCATGCATATTAGAAATTCATGCTAAAACTTGTATTTAAATTTGAGTTTTAGAGTTGATTGGGAACCATAGCAATTAATTATTCAGCTTAACTTAGCATATATTATTCATAGTTAACAGAGATAATAATAATCTTGGTGGATCACATTAGTAAACATAGTAATGACCTTCTTTTTGGCATTTGTTATAGTCCTCCTGTTAGGCGCCAGAGAGGAAGAAGGGATCGTCTGTCTCGACATAATTCCATTAGTCAAGATGAAAACTATCACCATCTCCCTTATGCACAGCAGCAAGCAATAGAGGAACCTCGAGCCTTCCACCCTCCGAATGTATCTCCCCGTCTGTTACATCCAGCTGCTCATCCACCCCAGCAAAATGCAGTCATGGTTGACATACATGATCAGGTACAATAGCACCATCCTCTTGTCTTAAACTCCTGCATAGAGTAGCTAATTGTTGCTGGTAAAATCCCTCACTACAGTCAGTTAGAGGATACATGTTGGTGATCATTATTTCTTTTTGAAGGTTCTATCTTACTAGTAAAAAAGATTTAAAAAAATAAATTGAGGGCTGGAGAGATGGGTCAGTGGTTAAGAGCACTGACTACTCTTGCAAAAATCCCAGCCGGGTTCAATTCCCAGAACCCACATGGCAGCTAACAACTGTCTGTAACTCCATTTCCAGGGGATATGACGCTCTCTTCTGATCTCCATGGGCATTGCACAACACAGGCGTACCTACCTATATGCAGGCATTACATTCATACACATACAATAAAAATAATGAAGAGGAAAATTGAGTTAAATCTTAGCAGATAAAATTATGTACTTAGGAAAGGAAGCAGATTCTGTCTTTTTAAAAATATTTTATTATTTTTATGTGTATGAGTGTATTATCTGCATGAATGTTGGTGCACCCATGTCATGCAGTGCCCACAGAGGTCAGAAGAGGATATCAAATTCCCTGGAACTGGAGTTATGGACAGTTGTTATCTGTTATGTGGGTGCTGGGACTCAAACCTGGATCCTCTGCAAGAGCAGCCAGAGCTTTTAACCATTGAGTCAGCTCTCCAGCCCCCAGATTCTATTTTTTAAAAATAGTAGGCATGGTTCCTAGGTTTCCAGATATATAAATTAATAAATTAGTATCTTACTATTAACACTCATTGATGTTGACGTGCAAAAAGAAAAAGATAACTTGCTGACAGAATACCAATATTTACAAATATTTATAAAAGAATTTTGAGTATCCAGTTTAATGAAGAATAATATGTGAGTGAATAATGTGAAGCTCAGTGGTAGAGCACCCTGGTTTGATCCCCAGGACAGTGAGGAAAAAATAGATCTTTATGAAGGAAAACTTTCTTAAAATGTAAGACTATAAAGAGAGTAATTTTGAAACAATAGTAAGTTAGTAAAATAAAAAATTTGATACCGATTAAAATTTGGGGGTATATTTGTTTAAGTAGAAAGTGAGCTGTGAGCAAACTATAGGTTATAGAAAAAGTCTTAAATGGCTAATAAGCTATGCTGAAAATATTTAATATTGCTAATCAGAAAAGCAAATTTAAATCAAGCTTGTCTAGTCTGATCATAAGCATACTTATAATGCAAATCTTCCTGAAGATTGAGTCTTCTTATGTTACTGTTTGAGTATGATTTACTTCTAGAGCCTTTGCAAGTGATTTGATGCCTTTAAAATTCTGAAATGTAGGGGCTGGAAAGATGGCTCAGTGGTTAAGAGTGCTGGCTGCTCTTGCAGAAGACCTGGGTTTGAATTCCAGCACTAACATGGTGATTTAAAAATCATCTAACTCCAGTTCTAAGGGAACCAACACCCTCTTCTGTCCTCCAGGGATGTTGCATGACATGGATGCACTTATATACATGCAGGCAGTATACTCATGCACATTAAATAAAATGAAATCAATCAATCAATCAATCAATCTGAAGTGTGCTGGACCTAGGCATAGTGGCACATACTTCAGTCCCAGCATTCAGAAGGCAGAGCCAGGCAGATCTCTATGAGATCGAGGCCAGCCTGGTCTACATACCAAGTTCCAGGTCAGCTGGGGCTGTCTCAAAAAAAAAAATGTATCTCTGCGTCTTTATTCAGTAATGCTTTGAGATAAATAAAGCTAATTTATAAAACAATATTATGATCTTTTATCATTTTTGTTTTTTATTTTCGTTTTTTGAAACAGGGTCTCCCTGTAGCCCCAGCTGGTTTGGACCAGGCTGATCTCAAACTGACAGAAGTCTGCCTGCCTCTGCCTCCTGAGTACTGGGACCAAAGCATATACCACTATGCCTGTTCCATAGTGATCTTTTTTATGGTTGTGTTGTATTGGTAAAAGAATAATGAACAACTTGAATATATTAAGTTAATGAGATTTTATTTTACATAACAAATCAAGTATGCGTTGAATGACATCCACAGTAATAAGTGAAAAAGGAAAGTTTGAGGGTACCTGCCATCTCATTTCTGTTAAGAAAGCCCCATGACAATTTATAGGTAATAAATTATTTACATAGGTTTGTATGCTCATGGAGAAACGAGAAGAATGTGTTATTAAAATTGTTTGCCTAAGGAAAGGCAGGTTGTGAGCATAGGATTGATTGATTACTTACAATGGGTACTAGTGATTGAATCCAGACCTTTAGGCAAGCACTCTTACACTGAACTATACCCCTGGCCCAAATTGAATTTTTTTATACCATTTCCATTGTTTGACTTGTAGTTGGAATTTTTTTGTATTGAATGTTTAAAAACACAAGTTTTATAGAAAAGATTTCTTTTTTAGAAGTTTTTTGTTCTACAATGTAGGGTAAAAGAGTTAACACAACAATGGATTATTCTCAAATCTTTTTTTGAGGAATGGCTTTAGCCCTAGTTTTGTGAGAATCCTGTATACTCTTAATTCAGTAAACTTTCCTGTACAAAGAGAATAAATATTCTGGTTGAAACTAATGGAGGAAGTCAGGTGTGATAACTCGTAATTACATCACTTGGGAGACAGAGGCGGGAGGAGTTCAAGCCTGGCTTTGGCTACATGAGACCCTGTCTCAAAGAAAGAAAGAAAATACTGAAGGAAATACATACACAGCCAAGTGGAGACTGTAATGTCCAAAACTTTTTTGAGACAGGTTCTCATGTAGCCCAGGCTGTCCTCCAATGGCCTTAAACTTCTGATCCTCTTGTCTCCATCTCCTAATGCTGAGATTACAGGTTTGAACTACCATGACTGATTTATGTGGTGCTGGGGATCAAATTCAGGGCCTCGTGCATGTTAAAGTACCCTACCTTTCTAGCTTCCCAAAGGTTCGTTCTTTCTTTCTTTCTTTCTTTCTTTCTTTCTTTCTTTCTTTCTTTCTTTCTTTCTTTCTTTCATCTTTTTTTTAAAATTAACATTTAATCTAAATAGCTAAAGCTTTGTTTTTCTTTCCTAAAAGCTCCATCAAGGAACAGTTCCTGTCTCCTATACCGTAACAACAGTGGCACCTCATGGGATTCCACTCTGCACAGGCCAGCACATCCCTGCTTGCAGTGCACAGCAGGTCCCAGGATGCTCTGTGGTTTTCAGTGGACAGCACCTGCCTGTCTGTAGTGTGCCTCCTCCAGTAAGTCTTTACCTTTATCCTCATTTGATCTTACTGTTTAGGGCACCAACCTGGTTTCTTAGTAATTCAGGAATCACCTGAATGGACAACTAACTAGCAAAATTTAAGATACTATCTTTGTAGCATCACTTCCAAGTAAAAAGATGAATCTGACTGTAATAAAAATCTTAATAATATAATTAGGGTAACCATAAAGTAAAGTTAGCTTTAAAATGTGGAATGTCATGGTAATTAAGACATTATAATTGTCTCATCAAATCATGTTACTTTCTATATAAAAACTGTTTCTAATCAAACCCTAATAAAGGTTGCCTTAGTCTCAGAAGCTGTTGTGTTCAGCAGTTGGTAATTTTAGCCCTTAAAGGGGCTTTAGTGGACACTCTGCAAATCTCAGGTAGTGAAATGTCATCCCCATTTTCTTCCTACTGGGTCTGGAAAGTTAAAAGACTTGCTTCCCATCATAGAGAGTTAGCATGAGAGCAGGGATTCAGACCTCCTTGTTTTTGCCTCTGAAGCTTATGCTTCATCATGAATCTTCTAGCCAACTTTCTTACTTAACAAATGAAGGTGGCTGAAATCCAGAGGCTCTCAGTACCTTAACTTAGGTAGTGTCTTCAAAGGAAGTGCCTTCAAATGAAGTACACAGAAAAACTGAAGTATAATTTTTGGGGGGGGGCAGGGTGTCTTTTTTTGAGATAGGGTCTCCCTGTAGCCCCAGCTGTCCTAGAACTCACTGTGTAGACCAGGCTGGCCTTGAATTCACAGAGATCCGCCTGCCTCCCGAGTGCTGGGATTAAAGGCGTGCTCCACCACGCCCGGCCCAAAGTATAATTTTAATCCCCTGGTCTACATGTCAGTTTAAAGCAAACATACATGCATCAGTACTAGTTAACAAATTAATTTACCCAAGCTTGTTTCTCAGGAACAGAACCATTCTGTTTAATTTATCAGCTGAAAGAGTATAGTGAAAGACTATAAAGCAGTTAACTGAGTTGTACTCAATACTGAAAAAGCAAAGTTTTCTTAGAGTAGTACAGTATCTGCTACATTGCAAACCAACTAGAAAGACATTTCCTTTTCTATATAACCGTCCCTCTTCTCATTTCATTTGTGTTAAAAAAATATATTATGGCTGGTAGGTGGAGAGATCACTCAACAGTGAAAGAGCACTGCCTGCTCTTGTAGAGGACCTGGGTTCAGTTCCCAGTGCCCACATGCTGGCTAACAGCTCCAGCTCCAAGGGATCTAACACCCTTTTCTGGCCTCCAGGGGCATTGCACACTGTAGTACACCTCATACATAAAATTAAAGTAAGTTTTAGCCAGGCGTGGTGGTGCACGCCTTTAATCCCAGCACTTGGGAGGCAGAGGCAGGTGGATCTTTGTGAGTTCAAGGACAGCTGGGGCTACAACGAGACCCTGTCTCAAAAAAAAGACCAAAAAAAAAAAAAAAATCAAAAGATATATATGTATATATGGGCTGATTTGGAAGAACTGTAAAACACAGACTAATTAGTTAACCAACTCCTACTGATAGATGCAAAAATACACTAGTACTTAATATAAGTTAAAGTTAGTAAGGTGTTTTTGTGAGTTTGGGGAGGTGTGGCAATGATTTTAGTCTCCTCCCTCCCCCCAAATGTATATTCTAATATTTCTAACCCCCCAAAATGATGGTTTCTCTTACAGATGCTTCAGGCATGTTCTGTTCAGCACTTCCCAGTACCATATGCTGCATTCCCGCCCCTCATTTCTAGTGATCCGTTTCTCATACATCCTCCTCACCTTTCTCCTCACCATCCTCCTCATCTGCCACCACCAGGCCAGTTTGTCCCTTTCCAGACACAGCAATCACGATCGGTACGTATCTCTACTCGTTTTCTAGTTCTCCTAGGATGGCTGCAGTAGGATGAGTGACTCAGTAAATGTAACTTTTATTACCATTTAAACACCATGATTTTGGTATTCTTACAGATGTTAAAAGAATTAGATGAGCAAGCATGGTAGTACATCACTTTAATCCCATCACCTGGGAGGCAGGGGCATGGAGATCTCTGTGAGATCAAGGGTAGCAGGTTCCAGACCAGGTTGGATTACAAAGAGACCTTTTCTGAAAAAAGAGACAAACAATAAAAAGAATTAAAGGGTGGGGCTGGAGAGATGGCTCAGCAGTTAAGAGCACTGCTCTTGCAGAGGGCAAAAGGGCCTGTGTTCGATTCCTAGCACCCATGTGGTGGCTAACAACCTTCCATAACTCGAGTTCCAGAGGGTCTGAATCCCTCTTTTGACCTCCATGGGCATAACATGGGTGCACTTGCATACACGCAGGCAATATACTCATATACATAAAATGAAAATAATAAATAAAATATTTTTAATTAAAGGAACCCATGGACATACGAATTAGTTTATACATACTTTGGGTTATCTAAATTTCTTTCATTTATTTTAGTGGGGGGGAATCTATTTTGAGACAGGGTCTCCCTGTAGCCCCAGCTGACCTGGAACTCACTGTGTAGACCAGTCTTCCCTTGAAACTCAAAGCATAGTCTGCTTCTACCTCCCCAGTGCTGGGATCAAAGGTGTGCACCACCACACCCAGCCGTAATTATCTAAATTTCATTGTTCTTCATGCATACAGTCTTCCAGGCAGTTAAAAGAGAAGAAAATTCTTACCTAGTTGTTGTTTTCCCCATTTTATGTATTTCTAAAGATTTATAAAAATGTATTGTTGGGGGCAGGGGTGTGATTTATGTGTGGGAGCACACGCCATGGCACCTGTATAGAGTTCAAATGACTACTGTGTGGAGTTGGCTGTCTTTTTCCATCTTTACATGTGTACTGGGAATTGAACTCATGTTGCCAGGCTTGCACAACAAGCACCTTAACTTGCTGAGCCCATCTCACCAGCCCTTTTCATAAATTTCTAAGTTGGAAAATGAAAATACTATAAAATTGTCAATACTTATTAGGATATTTTTATTCACTCAGGAAAAGTTTTGTTTCTTGTGTGTGTATGTGTTTCTGTGTTCATTCTGTAAGTATGCATGTGCCTCTGTGGAGGCCAGAAAGAGGGTATTGGACCCCTTGAAGCTGTAGTTGCAAGTGGTTGTGAGCCACCCAACATAGGTGCCAGGAACTAAGCTCTTGTCTAGCAAGTGCTCTTAACCTCTGAGTCATCTCTGCAGCCCCAAAGAACTTTTTGTGGGTGGGTGGATTGGTTGGTTGGTTTGAGGCAGGTTCTCATGTACCCCAAGTTCATCTCAAACTCTAAATTCTCCTGCCTCTGACAAGCATGCCCCACCACACACAGTTCATGTAGTGCTGGAGGTGAAACCCAGGGCTTCATGCATGCTAGGCAGAGCATTCTACCACTGAGCCATAGCCATGGCTCTTAGGAAAACTTTTAACTTTCATTTTTCTGAAGTCCTTTGCATTAATATCTGATGAAAGGCAAATGATAGTCTGTTAGCACAGTTAATTCTGTCTTGGGGCTGGAATGCAGCTGAGGGGGACATTATTTTGGGATGTTGTAAAAGCAGTTATGACAGATTTGTCTTAGAACTGCTTCTATAAAATTTTTCTTGGGTCAGGATAGTGTTTGTCCATGGATGGTCTCTTTGTTAGCTTCCATCTAAGAGTATGAGGTTCAAGCAAAATTTAGCTTTTTTTTTTGGTCTTTTTGAGACAGGGTTTCCCTGTAGCCCCAGTGGCTTAGAACTCACTGTGTAGACTAAGCTGGCCTCGAACTCAGATCTGCCTGCCTCTGCCTCCCAAGTGCTGGGCCTAAAGGCATGCACCACCACACCCTGCAGCTATCTTTTTTAAAATCTAACTTTGGAGTTGGGTCTACTGATTTGTGTAACCTACCATACTTCAAGTGAAAAGGAAAGGGTAGGGAAACAGTAACAAATAATAGATCAGTTGTACTTTGGTGTGGTTGTGGTGGTACATATCTGTAATACCAGCACTCACTTGACTGGTCTATATAGTGAGGCCTTCTCTTCCCTCGTCTCCTACCCACACTTAAAAAAAAAGTCCATACATTCATAAAGCTAAATTAGAACTTAGGTTCCCAGGTATTGTCATAGTGGCAGAAGTTATGATTTCTACAAAGCGTAAGTTTTACAAATTAAGGTATTAGTAGTTACTTATATCAAATAATGTGTAGCTATTCTGTAACTGAAGGAGGAAGCCAAGCTAACATGTAGAATTACATATGCACAAGAGAATTGAATTGCAAATACTAACACAAAAGTGTGTGCACAACTTTATAAGCAAGCCATATGATTCCCAGTAGCTAGACGTAAAAACAGCCCAAATGGCCACCACCTGATAAATGGATGCCTAGAGAATAATATGTCTTTATATTCAGCTATAAAAAGGAATGAAATTTGATACAGTCTACAAGATGGATGAACCTGGACAACATAGTACCCAAAAGAAGCTAGGAATAGGGCCACCTATTACATGGTCCCATTTTAAGAAAACAATTGCTATTGCGCATCAGTCCTTCTGCTCTCACCCCCAAGTACTGAAATGACAGGTGTGTGCTAACGTTCCCAGGCACAATACACTTTTGAAGTAAGCTATGAACATGTGTCAATTTTTTTTAGAATATTGAGGTTCAGACTAAGTAATTATCTAGAAGTCATGTGGCTGATTGGTGACGGTGCCAAGATTTTAATGTCAAAGCCAATAATCTGAGCTTCAGCGTAATGCCCACTGTACCTTATCCCATTTGCCCTTGCTTTTGTGTTAAAATACATACTGTGTTGTAGTCATCTGGGAGAAGTGTCAGAAAAGTCTTTGTTGATCAACATATCATGGCTGAACTAACAATTCTAACTTTCATGTAATTGACTTACTGTGATTTTTTTTCCCACTTTGAGAGATGGTTTGAGTAGTAAAAGGCATGTGTATTATCATAGATAATGGAAATGCTTAACATGTTACAAAGACTGGCTAAAATTAAAGGTAGCAAGTTTTATGTCCACCCATATCTTAGATGATACGAAAGTCAAAATAACCATGGCCTTGAAGACTTTTTATTGTTTTAACAAACCACTGGAAATATATTGACTTTGCTTTTTTCCTTCCATTCCACAGCCTCTGCAGAGGATAGAAAATGAAGTGGAGCTCTTAGGAGAGCATCTTCAAGTAGGCAGTTTTACCTACCCTGCTTCAGCCCATCCTCCAACATTACCTCCATCAGCTCCTTTGCAGTTCCTGACACATGACCCTTTGCATCAGGAGGTGTCTTTTGGAGTAGTAAGTTTTCATGTATTGTTAGATTAATTTGTTATAACTCTCAATGTGTTGAGAATTTCCAAATGTATCCATAAAAGCATTTGGGTATATATTTTATGCTAGTTGTAGCTATGTTGATATTAAGCAACATCTGGGCATGGTGCCATATTCCAATAATCCCAGCACTTAGGAAGTAGAGGCAAGAGGATTGCTACAAGTTCAAGGCTAGCCTGGTCTACATAGTGAGTTCCACACCAGTCAGGGCCACTTTAGCAAGACCATGTATTAAAAAACAAGTTGGGCTGACAAGGTGACTCAGAGGGTAAGGGTGCTTGCCATGCAAGCTTGGCAACCTAAGTTCCATTCTGAAACTCATGCAAGGAGTAAGAAAAGAGAACAAACTTCTCAGAGTTGTTCTCTGACTTCCACAAGCATGCACCCACACATATCATGCAAACACAATAACTATTTTTCTAAAATTTTTAAATTAAAAATGTGGCTTATTTAACAGAGTATTTGTAAATACAGAATAATCTTAAATTCTTTCAACCTTTTCCCTCCTACAGCCTTATCCTCCATTTATGCCTCGGAGACTCACAGGACGTAGTAGATATCGATCCCAGCAGCCAATACCACCTCCCCCTTACCATCCTAGCTTACTACCATATGTGTTGTAAGTTCCTTTTAAGTGAATTTTCTTAAGGTTCTTTCTTTTATGAGTACCCTCTCTGGTTTGTAACTTAGTGTGTGTTAAGATACTGCTTACACTTAATATTAAGTGGTTGTGAGGATGGAGAGCCAATTAAGGTTAAAAAAAAAAGTGCAGAGACATGGGAGAAGGAAAAAAAAATCTGAGACAAATTATTTAACAGATCACAAGGTGGAAAAGATTAAGTAAGGTATTTGCAACTTCTTAACTAGAATCCCTTTAAAAACTTTTTTACATTTATCATGTTGGGAAAGGGTAGCATACATGGCAGCCAGAGGACAACTTGGGAGAGTCAGTTTTCTCCACCGTGAAGCACTGAAATAGGCCAATTCCAGGGTGGTTTGTTAGACCTGTGTCTATTAGGGATGGTTTCTTCTGTCCCTCAAACCTTAGGGCTCTCATGATCTACATGACTCCTCAGAGTCTAAGCCATTATGTCAGTGCTAGCTAGCAAAAATGAAAGTGGGAAGTTGGATGTGGGCTGTACTGTAATTCTACAGCTCAAGAAGCAGAAATGGGAGGATTCATCCTTAAGTTCAAGAGCAGCCTGCTACAGAGTACCAAGCCATCCAGAGTTACATAACAAGACCCCCAATCTCAAAGAAATGAAGGAAAAAGGAAAGAAAAGGAGGCCCTCTGCACATGCTACTATTGCCTGTTTTGCATTGGCTGAAATTTAGTTACATGCCTATAATCACCTTCTAAGAAAGGTAGGAAATGTCATCTTTATATACTACAAGGCCATGTGCCTCTGTCACATTTAGTTTTCTGATAATTTTAGCAGATGTACACACTCCTACCTCCCTACCCTGTCTCTTTGTCTTAAAATTAGATAGTGTGATCTCCTAACTTTGTTCTTTTTCTTGGGGGGGGGGCGGGTTGAGACAGGGTCTCCCTGTAGCCCCAGCTGACCTGGAACTCGCTATGTAGACCAGGCTGGCCTCAAATCCACCTGCTTCTGCCTCCCAACTAAAGGCATGCGCCACCACACTCAGCAACTAACTTTGTTCTTAAATTGCTTCTATTTAGTATCTTTTGCATTTTCAGTTTTGGAAAAATGGCTCAGCAGTTAAGAGTACAGGCTACTCTTGTTAGACGACCCAGGTTTGGTTCCCAGCACCCACATGGCAGCTAACAACTGTTCATAACTCCAGCTCCAGGGGATCCAACACCTTCTTCTGACCTTCACAGGCATTGCATGAAATGGGTGCACTTACATACATGCAGGCAATACATTATACACATAAAATAAAAATAATAAATATTTTAGTATCTTTGTATTTCCATATAAAGTTTTAAAATCAAATGTTGGACATGGTGCTCACTCCTTTAAGCCAACACTGGAGACAGAGGCAGGTGGATCCCTGTGAAATAGAGGCAGCCTAGTCTAGTAAGTTCCAGACCAGTTGGGGCTACAGGGAGATCCTGCCTCAAAAAAGCAAAATGGACTGGAGAGATGATTCAGCAGTTAAGAGCACTAGCTGCTCTTGCAGAGGACCCAGGTTTGATTGCCAGCACCCTCATGGCGGCTAACAACTGTTTGTAACTCCAATTCCAGGGGAGCCGATGCCTTCTTCTGACCTAAATAAAATTTTATTTATTATTTTTAATCTTACATGTATGCGTGTATTGCCTGCTTGTAAATAAGCGCACCCATGTCATGCAATGCCCTTGGAGGACAGAAGAGGCTGTCGGATCCCCTGGAACTGGAGTTACATACAGTTGTTTATACACCATGTGGGTGCTGGGATTCGAACCCGGGTCTTCTGCAAGAACAGCCAGTGTTTTTAACCACTGAGCCATTTCTCCAACCCCATAAATAAAATATTTTTAAAAAGCAAAACATCTTCTGTAAATAAACTCCCACCCTGTGTTCTCTTAAAAAAAGAAAATGAAAGCCAGGCATGGTGGCACAGGCCTGTAGTCTCAGCACTTGGGAAGCAGAGGCAAGGCCTGGTCCACATAGTGAGTTCCAGGCCAGCTGGGGCTACAGGGAGACCCTGTTTCAAAAAGACTCCCCAAAAAAAGGAAAGAAAATGATAGGTGTTTCAAAAGATGGAAGAGAGGGATCTGACTAGACTGCAAGTGGATGGACTTGCACTGGGGAATGTCTGGGGATACTGACTTGATACAGTGGGCCTTAACACCCAGGACAGAGTATATGGGTTCCAGTGGTGGGGTTTGGGATGGTGCTGGTAGGGACAGGCCTATAAAGATGATTCAGATTTGAGATATTCTGTATAAAATACAACAAAATTTAATAAAAACAAATTTTAAAGGCAAAACAGCAACTAAAAATTCAGCGTTTAGTTTCTACTAAAAGAAAAAGACCAGTCATGGTGGCACATCCCTTTAATCCCAGCCCTTAGGAGGCAGAGGCAAGATCTCTGAGTTCAAAGCCAGCCTGGTCAACATAGCAAGTTCCAAGCCAGCTGGGGCTAAAGGGAGACCCTGTCTCAAAAGACCAAAAAAAAAAGAAATGAAAAGCTTTGTTTGTCTATAGGTCAAATTGGAAGAATATTGATAACTGTATTAAGTCCTTTAGTCTGTTTATATCATATATTACTATATTACTATTTATACTAGCAATTTTTATTGTGTAGACCTTACATATGTTTTATTAAATTTATCCTTAAATTTAAATTTTAATTACCTTTTATTTACTCACAGAAAGAGAGAGAGAGTATGTGTACACAAATGTGTATGTGTGAGTACACGGGTGCCCCGGACCAAATGTGGCAGTCAAGGCAGCTTGGGGGGGTCAGTTTTTTCCTTCCACCAAGCAGGGTCCAAGGATCAAACTCAGGTTATCAGGGTTGGCAATAAGCACCTTTACCTGCTGAGCCATCTCTCCAGCCCCCACATTTACCTTTTTATTGTAATGTGGATGGTATGTTTTTACTCTTCACTTTTATCTGTTGATAGTAAAGTCAGTGCCTTTAAAGTGTTACCACTAATAGACATTCTTCATCCATTTAGTCATCTGTGTAGTTCTGGCCTTTGTCCTCTGTCCTGTTCGTTGCATTAATATGTTAGCATCAGTGCTGCCATGGTTGTTTCCTTTGTAGATCAATGCTTCCAGTGCCGCCTGCAGTGGGCCCAACTTTCAGCTTTGAGTTGGATGTGGAAGATGGAGAAGTAGAAAATTATGAGGTTAGTAAGATGAACTATAAATTAATTTGAAAAGTATTGTGTACAAGTGTCCTACACGTCAACATAATTAAAACATTTATTAGGTTAATTTTGTGTTTTAAGAAGTGGGTGTATTGAGCTGGGTATGGTGGCATGTGCCTTTAATCTCAGCCCTTGGGGGCTGAGATCTCTGTGAGTTCGAGGCCAGCCTGGTCTACATAGCAGGTTCCAGGCCAGCTGGAGCTACAGGGAGACCCTGTCTCAAAAAGCCCCCCTTTTGCCCCCAAAAGAAATGGATCTATCCTAACACGTTAGCACCCTTAGTGTATTAGGACTTGTGCCTCATTGCCGAAGCAGTGGATAGGCCCGCCATTCAGGTTGCAATTCCAGGGAGAGAATGCAAATGGTGAGACAGTGGTGAGTTGGGATGTTGGGAAAAGATTAATGGAAACAAAGTGGTTTGAACTCGATCTTGAAGGCAAGGAAGTACTGGGCATTGTTAAATATAGGAAATAGTCTGTGACTAAAGTGAAAGGGAGAAATTGATCCTGCTGTGGTGGCACATGCCTGTGATGTCAGCTCTTAATAGTTGGAAGCAGCAGGATAGCAAGTTTGAGGCCAGCCTGGGCTACATGGTAAGACCTTTATTTAGTAAGGAATTTGTGGCATAGTATTGAATGCCTATTATCCCAGCACTCAGGAATCTGAGTCAGAAAGATCTTGGGTAAAGATCATCCTAAGCTGTGTAAAAAAAACATTGCCTTTTAAAAAAGATAAATTAATTGTAGGTTTAGCAAGCAGTTAGTAATTTAAAATTTGAGAGAGAGGAGTAAACATAATTGTAACATTGACATATCAAATACTTTAAAATCTACAGATTCATGGTAAATTACTTCAAAAAACAATTGGTTGGTCTTATCCTACTTTTTTTGGGGGGGTAAGTTATGCTGTTGGATATAATTTGATATGAGAGTATTACATTTTTGCCAGCCTTGATGAATTACTGGCACTATAGTACCAGTAATTACAGTTGGACACTATGGACTTTGATCTCCCAACTTAAGATAGTACAGTGGACAAGGAGTGTGTTATATCAGATAGGTCAGAAGTAGGAAGGTTCAATCACCAGAGTAACATTGGAAGTTTGGGGGTTCGGTTGTTTTTATTTTGTTTTAAGGCAGGCTCCCCAGGCTGACCTTGTACTTGCTAGGTAGCCTAGGATGACCTCAAACTTGAGATCGTTCTTGGCTCTATCTCTTGAGTGCTGGGATTCCAGGAATGTGCCCCTGACACCTAGTTTCATGTTGTGCTGTGGATGAAACCCAGGGTTTCATGCATGCTAGGCAAGCACTCCACCAGCTAAGCTACATCCACAGCCACACATTGGTTACTTCTGCAGGTCATTGATCTGGCTTCTTCAACAAATGTAATGATAAATAAAAAAAAAGACTTGGGCTGGAGTCATGGTTCAGCAGTTAAGAGCACTTACTACTCTATCAGAGGACCAGAGTTGAGATCCCAACACCCACATTGGGTGGCTCATAAATGGCTGTAATTCTCATTCTAAGGGATCTAATGCCCCACTTCTGACCTCCATGGGCTCCTGCACACACGTATGTATGTACACACACACACACACACAAAATATTCATCTTTTAAGAAAAGATCTGGGGATGGGATCCGGAGAGATGGCTCAGCAGTTAAGAGCTTTTGTAGAGGACCCAGGTTCAGTTCCCAGCACCAACATGACAGCTAACTGTAACTCCAGTTCCAGGGAATTTGATGCCCTTACTGGCCTCCTCAGGCTCCAGGCAGGCATGCAGTGCATGTACATACATAAAGGCAAAAAGACTTGATACATATCAAGCCATGGCAACATTGGATCCCTGTTTAAATGAAATAATTGTTTTGAAAATAATCAGAAGTATTTGAATATTAATTGGATACTTGATGTTAAAAAATTAGTTCTTTTTAGATGTATTTATTTTTATTTTATGTATATAAGTGTTTTTGTGATTTGCCTTGTGGGTGCTGGAAACTGAACCCATGTCTTCTGTAAGAGCAACAAGTACACCACTGAGCCATCTCTCTAGCCCAGGAATTAATTTTTTAGTGTGATATGACATCATTGTTGTGCTCTTTTGAAGCCTTTTTTAAGAAATTGATTGTAGCCGGGCGTGGTGGCGCACACCTTTAATCCCAGCACTCAGGAGGCAGGGCAGGCTGATCTCTGTGATTTCAAGGACAGCTGGGGCCACAGGGTGACCCTGTCTCAAAAAGACCAAAGGAAGGAAGGGAGGGAGGGAGGGAGGAAATTGATTGTACAGTAGATGTAATCCATCTATCTCCCTGAGGCTCATTTTGCAGATGGTGAAGTACATACAATTCAGTCATATCTAAAGTCTTTTTAAAAATTTTTATGTGTGTTTTGCCTGCATGTATTTAAGTATACCCATACATGCAATGCCCAGAGTCCAGAAGAGGGCATTGGATCCCCTAGGACTAGAGTTATGATTGTTAGCTTTCATGTGGGTGCTGGGAACCTGGGTCCTCTGCAAGAGTAGCCAGTGCTCTTAACCACTGAGCTATCTCGCCAGCCCCATATTTAATAGCTTGAATTTTTTTAATTTATTTTTATTTTATGTGTATGTGTTTTGTTTGTATATATGTACGTGCACCCATACTTAAAATGCCCGCAGAGGCCAGAAGAGGGCATTGAATCTCCCAGAACTAGAGTTGTGGGCAGTCGTTAACTGCCATGTGGGTACAGGGAACTAAACCCTGGTCCTCTGCAAGAGCAGTCAGTGCTCTTAACCACTGTGCCAGCCTTCCAGCCCCTTAAAATTTTTGTTTTTGTTTAAGGGGGGTTTGAGACAGGGTCTCTCCAAGCTGGCCTTGATTTCACAAAGATCTGTCTGCCTCTCTCTCCCAGATGCTGGGATTAAGCTGCCACCATACCTGGCTTAAAAACCATTTTTAGTTTCATTTATTTATATTGTGTGTATGTGTGTGCACGTGTACACTAGGACACCACAGTGCACTTGCCATAGCATGCGTATGAAGGTCAGTGGACACCTTGGGACTTGGGTCTAGGTATCAAGCTTGGTACAAGTGTCTTTACCTGCTGAGCCAGCTCACTGGCCTCTGAAGTGGTTTTTTTTTTTTTTTTAATCTTTTTGAGACAGGGTCTTTCTAGCCCCAGCTGTCCTGGAACTCACTATGTAGACCAGGCTGGCCTTGAACTCACAGAGATCCACCTGCCTCTGCCTCCCAAGTGCTGGGATTAAAGGCATGTGCCACCACACCCAGCTGAAGTCTTTATTCAAGCAGCTGGTCCAGTTGCATATTCTCTTCTGTACAATATTAGAAATGAATCTGTCTTTGGTAAAACATTCTGTAATTGTCGTGCTATTGGTTATCACTTGATGATGGCTGTCCTGAATGGGGTTTTTGCACACCTGTTCCTTCATCTCCCGAAAAATGCCATTTATAACAGGTAAAGGAGAGATTGTCCTCAGAGACTGGCTGTGACTATTCTTGTGAGTTTCGTGCCAACAAAGGAAAGCATAAACAGATTTACTGAAAGCAAATGTGAAAATCTTTAAAAACCAGGGTACAGCCTCCGAGAAATATGCTAAGTTGTTATCTTGGGAAACTCCACCCAGTTCCAACTATGTGTTACTTCCAAGTTGATTCCATAAGTTCCCCAGGAGAACCTTGGTTGCTTGAACCATTTGGATTACCACCAAGCTAAATCTTGAATTACCCCTTTTTTTTTTGTTTAAAAAAATTAAAAAAAGACATAGTCTCTAGCTGGGTGTGGTGGCACACACCTTTGATCCCATCACTTGGGAAGCAGAGGCAGATCTTTGAGTTTGAGGACAGCCTGATCTACGTAGCAAGTTCTAGGCCAGCTGGGGCTACAGAGAGACCCTGTCTCAAAAAGACCAAAAAAAAAGACATGATCTAGAGAAACACATTCTCAACTCAGTATCCAGATGATCAAGGAAAGGAAGTTAGTGTTGCTAGAGATGGATGGCAGCTAGCTGCAAAAATTCATCCACCTTTCAGCAGCTTAATGCTGCCATCTTCAAGGCTGACAAACCATCCAGTGTAACATCTGTGAAAACCATCTCTAGAGGCCAAGGATATAAAGCAGTTGGTAAAACTCTTGCCTACCATGCACAAAGCCCTGGGTTCAATCTCCAGCATCACATAAACTGAACATGGTGTAGTACATACATGTAACCCCAGCACTCAAGTCTCTGATTCTTGGCCTACCCATGAAAAGAAGATAAAACAAGATAGTGTGGTTGGACCATAGCCTATGTAGAAAAAATGCCAATAAGCAGTTCTTGACCTTTCTTCAGTGTTAGAATCCCCTCCAGCCTGTCTGCTTAGTTGTAAACTTGTTTGATGTACCAGTCTCCCTCTTCTCATTGCCCTCATCCTTTTATGTTTTAATGGGCAGAGAATTTAACTCAGCTAGTAGGTTGCTTGCCTAGCAGGCATGATCCCAGCAGTACATAAACTGGGCCTGGTGGTACGCGTATGTAATCCTAGCATTAAGAAAGTAGAGGCAGGAGAATCAGAAGTTCAAGGTCATCCTTGGCTACATGTGACCCTGTTTTAAAATTTTAAGACTCCAATCACACCAGAGACATCTGATGTGGAACCTGAGAAGGGAAAACTTGTTCCCATGCATGCCATCTATGGTGGCAGTTACTGTGGTGCTTTTAATTGCAAAGAAATTAATTGGCTGATAAAAAAACTTTTCTGATTTCTTTTGTCTAACTAGACAGTCATTTTCATGTTCAGCCCCTGTTCAAAGTCATGTTCAAAGTCTTTTATACTGTTAGTGCTGTATTCTAAGTAAAGAGTATGTCTATATATACAAGTTATTGGGGTTTTGGTTTTGGTTTGTTTTTTAGTATCTTTTAGAGCAGTGGTTCTTATACTAGAGCCAGTTTTGTCCCTCAGGAGATAATGTAATGTCTCTAGACATTAGGTTCTTGGAACCCAGGGCATGGTACTGACAGTGATTAGGGATGCTGCTGAGTGTCCCATAATACCTTGGACAACCCCACAACAAAGAATCATCCAGCCCAAAGTGGCTTAAGTTAGTAAACTGTTCTACACACACAGTACTACAGAACTGTCTTGCCAGTGAAATACCATCTTTTAGTTTTGTTTCAGAATAATCTAGGGTTTAGAATAGTGATAGGTGAAATAAAATTAGTCATTATATATTGAGCCTGAGTAATGGACAAATATAAGGGTTCCTTACATATAGGAGTAGAGGAACTGGTATAGTTTCCTATGTAAAAGAAAAGATACAAGAACTGGGCATGGTGGCTTCCACCAGTAATCCCAGCACTTGGGGGAGGGAGCAGGTTGAAGCAGGAGGATTGCCCTGAGTTTGAGGCTTACCTGGTCTACATAGTGAGTTCCAGATCAGCCTAGGCTACAGAATGAGATCTTGTCTTAAATTATTCCCGTTAAGAGGGCCCACAGTGAGATGACTCAGTGGGCAAAGGCACTTGCCATCTGATGGCCTGATAATCCCTGGGACTCACATGGTAGAAGCAGAGAACTGACACTCACAAATTGTCCTCTGACTTACACATGTGACACACATTAAATAATTAATAGAAAACTTAAAAAAAAAAAAAAAGGCTAGGTATAGTGACACATATATTTAATACCAGCTCTCAGGAGGCAGAGGTCTATATAGCAAGTTCTAGGCTAGCCAGAGCTACATAGTGAGATCCTGTCTCAAAAACAGAAGTAGGAGAAAGATAAAAATCTTTTTTTCTCTCTCTCTGTAGGCCCTGTTAAACCTGGCAGAGCGACTGGGAGAGGCTAAACCTCGGGGACTGACTAAAGCAGATATTGAACAACTTCCTTCTTACCGGTTCAACCCTAACAACCACCAGTCAGAACAGACTTTGTAAGTATGTTTTTCTAACACTACTGTCAAGTTTCCTTTTCACCTTTATGAAATAAAAGCTTGAGGGGCTAGAGAGGTGGCTCAGTGGTTAACACTTGGTTGTTCTTGCAAAAGACCAGGGTTCATATCCCAGCAGCCACATGGCAGCACACAACTGTCGGTAACTCCAGTCCCAGGGGATCCGACAGCCTCTTCTGACCTCCTCGGGCATTGCATGACACAAGTGCACTTACCTACATGCAGACAATACATGCATACGCATAAAATAAAAATAAAATTTAAAAAAAAAAAAAGCTTGAGAGTTAGTGATAATATGATAAAGGTAAGTTACCTATTTCTGGGTCTGTGCTGACCAATAAGGTGGCTAGATTAGTCACATGGAACTATCTAAATTTCTTAGTCACAGTAGCTAGTGACTACTGTGTTGGGAGGTATAAACAAAGAATGTGAGGTAAAATTCACATTCTGTAAAGCTCATCCATTTAACATGTACAATTCAGTGATTTTTAGTATATGCATACAATTGTGCACCCATTACCACAAATTTAGACCCTTTTTATCACTCCAAAAAGTGATTTTACTTACCTATTAGCCACCACACCCCAGGTCTTCTCAATTCTCTGTACCTGAATGCCTCTCTAAACCACCTTATTTCCATTATGGCTCCATAGATTTCATATACACGGAATCCTATGTGTCTTTCAGCCTGTACAGAAAATGAATTTAGCGACTTTTTCAAGTTCCATGTGTTGTACTTTGTATCACTCAGTCACTCTTTTTTGGCCACATAATATTCCGTTGTATGGACATAACATTTCTATCCTTTCTTTAGTTAATGAACTAAATTAATTCATTAGTTCAAAACTAAATAGTTAATTAAATGAACATTTGAGTTATTTTCACCCTTTATACCTGTTTTGAATAATACTACTTGGAACATTTGTGTAAACATTCTTCTGTGGATGTGTGTTTTCATTTATCTTGGGTTGAAGTGAATTGCTAGTTTGTTACATAGCCCTGTTTAACCTTTTGAGAGCTGTCACACAGTTTTTCCAAAGTATTTCCACCATTTTAATATTCCTGAAAGCCAGTGCACAAAAGATCACCTCTTCTCTACATTTCCAGCACTGTTGCTGTCTCTCTGTAATATGGCTCTCCTTTAGGGCTCGACGTGTTCGCTCACTGAGCTTTTAATTTTCCTTTCCCTGCTGGCTGCTTATGTTAAGCATCTTTTCCTTGTGTTCTTTGGCTTTTATATATTTTCTTTGGAGAAATACCTGTTCAAATCCTTGTCCATTTTTAAATAGGGTTGTCTTTTTTTAATTATGCTAAAGAAGGTCTTTGTATGTTACAGATAAATGATTTTCATTACTGTCTCCATTCCGTGGACTTGGAAGATGGTTCAGTCAGTAAAAGTGCTTGCTGTACAAGCATTAAGCCCTAAATTTAATCCATATAAAATTACCAGATGTGGCAGTGTACCTTTATAGGCTTAATGTTGGGGACATGCAGACAGGCAGATCCCTGGAGCGTGCTAGCCAGCTAGCCTAGCCTATTTGGCAAGTTCCAGGCCAGTGAGAAACTGTCTTAAACAGGATTCGGGGGCTGGAGAGGTGGTTCTATGGCTGCTCTTGCAGAGGACTCAGGTTCAATTCCCAGAACCCACATGGTGGCTAGCAACTGTCCATAACTCCAGTTCGAGGAATCTAACATTGCACAGCACAGGTGCACTTACATGCATGCAGGCAATACACTCATACACATAAAATAAAAATAAATAGGAGGAAAGAAAAAACATTGGGCTGGGGAGATGGCTCACTGGTTAAAGTGCTTGCGTGGAGACAGGAATTCAGGCCCCAGGACCTCCATCTGGGAGAGAGAAGCTTCACATGCCTGTTATCTCAGAGACAAGAGAATCCCTGGGACTTGCTGGCAAGCCGCCTACCTGACTGAATCAGCAAGCTTCAATGAGAGGCCTTGTCTCAAAAAATAAGGAAGATAAGGACTAGTGAGATTGCTCAGTGGGTTGAGATGCTTGCCACAGAAGCCTGGCAACCTGAGTTTCATTGTGGGAACTCAGTAATCATGGATGAAGAGAATTGACTCCACAAAGTTGTCTTCTGACCACCACATGCATGCACACACACACCAAAAAATAAATGGGGAAGAAAAAGATGGAGAATAGTTGAAAAAGATACCTGATACCAACCTCTGCCTCCAGGTACATGTGTGTGGCTTCTCTCTGCATATATGTGCATGTTCACCAGTACATACACATTCTGTAAGTTGTCTTTTTAGGTACTTTGTTTTGGTAGTGCTAGGAAACAGAACCAGGGTTTACACGTTCTAAGGAAGTGCTCTACCACTGAACTGCATCTACAGCCCGTTTTCAGTTTCTTGATGGTGTCCCTTGAGAAACAAAAATTTTTAATTTTGATGAAGTTTATTATTTTATGGTATTGTGGTCAAACCTGAGACCTTAACGCACGCTAGTCCAGTGCTTTACCACTGGGTTACGTATATCCACACCTAATTTTGATGAGTTCCAGTTTGGTTCCTTGTTGTTGCTTGCTTTTCTGTTAATGGTGTTTTCATGTCAGAAAAACTATTACCAACACTCCCAGACCAGAAAAATTTGCTATTTGTTTTTGTTTTCTAAGTTTAATAGCTTAGTTCTTAATCTAGGATATTGATTCATTTGTTAATTTTTCTTGCATGTGTATGTATACAGGTACATTTGCACATGTATATACATGGAGACCAGAATTTGATGTCAAGTGTGTTCAGTTCTGCACTAAGACAAAATCTGACTGAGCTGGAATTCACTGATGGTGCGACTAGCCCTTCCCCCAGAGATCCCAACTTTATGTGGGTCCTGGGGACCCAGCCTCCATTGTGCCAAATCCTGTGTCCGTTCTGTCTTAGCAATAGGGTCTTACCTTCAGCTATACTCACGGAAGGTAAGACCCTATTGCTGAATGAATACAACATCATGTAGAGATAGTCTATGTGTAATTTTTCAGTAGGTTTTTAGACTAATACCATTCCCTCTGGGGTTTGTTGTTGTTGTTTTTCTTTTTGAGACAAGAGCCTGTAGCCCCAGCTGACCTGGAATTCACTATGTAGATCCGCCTGCCTCTGCCTCCCGAGTGCTGGGATTAAAGGCATAAGCCACCGCACCCGGCTTCCTCTGTTTTTTTTAATTAAACACTATATATCTCTCCCTGTCTTGTCCTCCCTCCCCGCCCTCCTCATTTAAAGTGTCTCCATTTTCCCCATTTCTCCCTGGATAATTTCTGTCTGCTGTGGTCCTACCTCTCTTGCACTCCTTCTTTCCCTTTATTTCCATAGTTCTTTGTATAGCCTTCCTTCTCCTCCTCCTCCCATTTACCCCCTTTTTTTACCCATTTCTCCATTAGTAACACCTGTCTCCTACTATTATTCTCTCTCAGGTTCCTTCTTTCCCTTTACCTCCTTGGTTGCTTTTCATAATCCTGGTTCCTGCAGTTACATCAGGATATGCACTCACTTTACAAGAATTTGGTGCTAGGATCCACAGATGAGGCAGAACACACATCTTCTGTTTTTTCTGAGTCCGTGTTACTTCACTTAGAATCAGTTTCTGGATCCATCCATTTACCTGCAAATTTCATTATTTCATCTTTCTTTACATTGAATAGAACTCCATTGTGTAAATGTACCACATTTTTGTTAACCACTCATCAGTTGAGGGGCACTTAGGTTGCTTCCATCTCTTAGCTACTGTGAAAAGAGCAGCAACAAACATGGCTGTACAAGTGTCTCTGCAATAGAATGAGTCCTTTGGGTATATGCCAAGGAGTGGAATAACCGGGTCATACGGTAGGTTCAGTTTTAGTTTTTTAAGAGTTCTCCACACTGTTTTCCGTAGGAGTTGCATGAGTTTGCAATCCCACCAGCAGTAAATGAGGGTTCGTCTTTCTCCATATCTTTGCCAGCATTTGGTATCATTTGGTCTCTTGATCTTAGCCAGTCTGGCTGGGGTAAGGTGAAATCTAAAGGTGGTTTTAATTTGCATTTTCCTAATTGCTAACAGTGTTGAACACTTTTAAAGATGTTTCTTAGACATCTTCTATTTTTGAGAACTCTCTGTTTAGATCTTTAGCTCATCTTTTAATTGGATCATTTGTTTTCTTGATTGTTTTTTTCTTTCAGTTCTTTATATATTCTAGATGTTACACCTCTGTGAGATATGTCATTGGTGAAGGTTTTTTTTTCCGTTCTGTGGGGTTTCTCTTCACTTTCTTGTTTCTTTGGCTATACAGAAGCTTTTTAGTTTTATGAGGTCCCACTTGTTGATTGTTGACCTTAATTCCTGAGCAACTGATGTCAGATTTAGAATTCGACTTAAAATGTCCTTTCCTACACCTATATTTTGTAGGTTACTGCCAATGTTTTCTTCTAACAGTTTTAGAGCTTCAAGTTTCACATTGAGGTCTTTGACACGTTTATAGTTGACTTTTGTGCAAGGTTAAATATAAGGATCTAGTTTCATTCTTCTACAGGTGGAGATCCAGTTTTGCCAGCCATTTGTTGAAGATGCTGTCTTTCCTCCATTGTGTATTCTTGGCACCTTTGTCAAATATCAGGTGTCTGAAAGTGTCAATCAGTTCTAGGAGTTTTCTGGTAGAATTTTTGTAATCTCTTAGGTATAGTATCATATCATCTGTAAAAAGGGATAATTTGACCTCTTCCTTTTCAATTCATACTCTTAATTTACTTCTCTTATTTTCTCTACCAAGAGTGTCAAGCACTATATTGAAAAGGAGTGGAGATAGTGGACAGCCTTGTCTGGTTCTTGGTTTTAATAGGAATGCTTCCAGTTCTTTCCCATTTAGAATGATGTTGGCTGTGGGTTTGTTGAATATGGTTTTAATTATGTTGAGTTATGTTACCTCCAATCCAATTTCCTTTAGGACTTTCATCATGAATGCATGCTGAATTTTGTCAAAGACCTTCTCTGCATCTATTGAGATGACCATGTGATTTTTGTCTTTTGAGTCCATTTATATGATTTATGATGTTTATTGACTTGCGTATATTGAAACAGCCCTGCATCTCTGGAATAAATCCTACTTGATCATGGCATATGATCTTTTTGGTGTGTGTCTGTATGCGGTTTACAAGTATTGAGGATTGTCGCATCTATGTTCATTAAGAAAATGGGTCTATAGTTCTTTCTTGGTGTGTCTTTACCTGGTTTTGGTATCAGAGTGATGCTGGCTTCATAGAAAGAATTTAGGCTTTCTCCCTCTGCTTCTATCTTTTTGAATAATTTACCTAGTATTGGTTGTAGATCTTGTATTGCCTTATAATGATATGGATCTTTTGGGTGTCTGTTGTGATGTTTCCCCTTTCATCTCTGATTTTATTGATTTGGATTTGATCTTTTCTTTTGATTAACTGGGCTAAGGGTCGATCTATCTTGTTTAGCTTTTCAAAGAACCAACTCTTAAATTCATTGATTCTTTGTATTGTTTTGTTTTTATTTCATTAATTTCTGCTCTGATTTTTATTATTTCTTCTGGGTTTGGGTTTCATTTGTTCTTGCCTTTACAGAGTCTTGAGTTGTGGTGTTAAGTCATTTATTTGTGCTCGTTCTGATTTTTTTTTTTTTTTAGTGTCCCAGAGGTTTTATTTTCTGTATTGAATTTCTCCTTTGACTCACTCATCATTCAAGAGTGTGTTGAATCTCCATGAGTTTGTGTAGTTACTAGGCCTTCTTCTGGTGTTGATTTTAAGCTTTATTGTGTTGTGGTCTAGTAGAATGCATAGAATTGTTTTTTGTTTTTTTTTTTTTGTATTTTTTGAAGTTTGTTTTGTGCCCTAGTATGTGGTCAGTTTTTGAGAGAGTTCCATGGGGTACTGAACAGAAAGTGCATTCTTTGGTGCTTGGGTGGAATAGTCAGTAGATGTCTGTTAGGTCCAATTGATGAATTACCATTTAATTCAGATGTCTGTTTATTCTTTGTCCCGTTGACCTATCTAATGGAGACAGTAGGGTATTGAAGTCCACTACTCTTACTGAGTTGGGGTTAATCTGTGTCTTAAAGTCCTATAGTGTTGTTTTTAGGACTTCGGGTGTGTCAGAGTTTGGTGCATATATGTTCATGATTGTAATGTCTTCTTGGTTCCTTTGATCAGAATGAAGTGACCCTCTTTATCTCTTCTGACTAGTTTTAGTTTGCAATCTCTTTTGTCAGACATTAGAATTGCAGCCCTGCTTGTTTCTTAATGCCATTTGCTTGGAATATTGTTTTCCAGCCTTTCACCTTAGGGTAGTGCCTGTCCTTGAAAGTGAGATGGGTTTCTTGCAGACAAAGGGATGTATTTATTTTGTTAATTCAGTCAACTAGCCTGTGTCTCTTGACTGGGCAGTTCAGTTCATTGATATTTAAAGATATTATTGAAAGATGTGTATTGGTTGCCATCATTTTGATTACTGTTTACATTCTTTGTTTAATTTTGTGTTTCCACAGTTATACCTTCATTAGTTTCTTTCTCTTGCCCCTGGGGTTTAGCTGTTCCTTTCTCTGTTCTTTCTATTGCTTCAAGTATTCTCTGATGGACCGGTTTTGTGGACATGTACTCTTTCAACCTATTCATGTCATGGAAGATTTTTCATTCCCCTTCAACTATAATAGACATTTTTGCTGGGTGAAGTGTTCTGGGTTGGCATCTATGGTCGTTTAGAACTGGGAATACTCCAGTCCAGGTTTTTCTGGCTTTCTTTACATTGATAAGTCAGCTGTACTTCTGATCGGTTCTCCTTTATATGGGTGTAGTTGTTTTTCTTTCATAGCTTTCAGTATACTTTGTTCTGTGCATTTAATGTTTTTTACTATGATATGCCATGGGGAATTTCTTTTCTGGTCCCGTCTATTTGGTGTTTATGTGCTTCTTGTATTTGTATAGGGATGTCTTTCTTAGTTTTGGGAAATTCTCTACTGCAGTCCTATTTAAGCTCTGGTCAATAATCTTTGCTGAACAAGAACCCTCGCTGGGCTGGCTGACCAGGAGCTCTCAGCTGTGTCTGGTTCAGTCTCTGCCTCCCCAGGGATGGGGTTACAGGCATATACAGCCATGTCCAGCTTTTTACCTAGGTGCTGGAGATTCAAGCTAAGGTCCTCCTGCTTGCAGTGTAAGTGCTCTGACCCACTGAGTCCAGCTCCTTAGCCAGAAAATTTGATAACCTGTCAGTAAAGAACTCTATAACTAAATGCCGTAACATTTTCAGGGTATTGATAACTTTTAACATTTTAACTGATGTTTTTATAACTGAGAACGGCTTTGTTGTGTACTTTGTCATAACAATAGAAAACAAAAAAATGAATGATCTTTTTTGCTTTCACAGGTGTGTAGTATGCATGTGCGATTTTGAGTCAAGGCAGCTACTTAGAGTCTTACCCTGTAACCACGAGTTCCATGCCAAATGTGTTGACAAATGGCTTAAGGTAAAGTAATGACATGTGTAAGGAGAATAACAGTTTTGTACTTTATTATTGACTGTAGGTTCAGTGGTTTAGAGGCGGGTGGGCAGAGGAGACAAAACTGGAGCATAGCTTTTAAAGTATGAAGTCTAAGCCAGGCTTGGTGGCGCACGCCTTTAGTCCCAGCACTTGGGAGGCAGAAGCAGGCGAATCTCTGTGAGTTCAAGGCCATCCTGGTCCACATAGTGAGTTCCAAGCCAGCTGGGACTACAGGGAGACCCTGTCTCAAAAAAAGACCAAAAAAATAAAATAAAGTATGAAGTCTATGAAAACAAAAGGCCAATAAAAAGGAACTGCAGAGACTGGGTATGGAGTGGTGCCCCATGTGCTTGGCATGTATGGCTTGGCTTCTCAGCATTGCAAAATAAAATAGGTAAGAATAGCTGTGGCCATCAGCATGGTGGTAATCGTGAGAACTGGAGCAGGTAACTTGCCCTCCGTATCAGTGTGCACTGGTTTTCTTCTGGGACAGACATTAGAGTTTAGATGGTACCTTACTCTGGGACTTTTTGTGAGAGATTTTCACAGAGAATAAAGTTTTTATATAATTCTGAACAGTCCTCTTGAATATGTATAAAAGCCCAAAGGTTATAAATTTCAGTGGTGCTGCCAGAATATTACGCTAGGGCTGCTTCTATTTTCTTTACATAGTCTTAATTATGTAAGAATATGAGTAAAGAGATGAGTTTAAATGTTTTTTTTTTTAAAAGACAGGGTCTCTCTGTAGCCCCAGGTAGCGTAGAACAGGCTAGCCTCAGTCTCACAGAAATCCACCTGTCTCTACCTCCCAAGTGCTGGGATTAAAGGTATGCGCCACCCTGTTCCTGGCTTTAAATACTCTATTTTTTAAATAGAATGTGCTGGTTTAGGTAGCTTCATTAGTTTAGTGAAGAGATTAGATACTAAGGTGTGAGGCGCATACCTGCAGTCTCCACATTTGAAGGGAGCCTAAGAGCACAATCAAGACTGTTCTGAGCTACATAGTAAGACTTGTCTAAAATAAATATTTAAAAAGCAATTGGAAGTAAAGACAAGACAGTTCTTAGCACTGTCCATCCAGCTTTGTCCAAACTGAATCTGGAAATTGAAGAATCTGAACTTTTTTAGATAATCAAAACATACTATGTGCAAAGCCCTCCATGTGAGCCAGGAATGGTCAAGAAACCAGTTTCATGCACTGAGAGCTAGGATCTGAGGGAAAATAGCAGAGGGAGAGATTGAGAGATGTAACAAGTTATCAAAAGTCATTCTGAAATATGGAAGAGTTTATACTTACTCTGAAAGCAAGGGGAAGATAGGTACGGCTACAATTGTGTTTTAGAAACATCATTGGCCACTGCTTCGAGCATGAAACAGGAGAGGTGGTTGCTCAGATGGGAAGATAGAATGAGATGAGGGGTGAGCTGGGTAGGGTATACAGTGACAATCAGGTGGAAAAACTGATTTCTCTAAGAACCATTCAGCAAAATGTAGATGTGAGAGTGTTTGGTGACTAATGGACAAGCAGGATGGCAAGTGATGCTTGTTTTTTAGGGTTAGCAACTCCCTAGACCTGCCAAACAAAACAAAAACGGTCAAATGTTTTTATTTTTTTAGTTATTAAACATTTCCATACTGGTGGTATGTGTTTAAACAAAATCATGAAAAAGTTACTTGTGAATCCTAGAAACTTATGCAGATTATTTTGTTTTGTTTTTCTTGTGTTTTGAGACAGGGTCTCATGTAGCTGAGGCTTATCCTGTTTATCATGCCAGGTATGGTGGACCTGCGTTTAGTCTCAGAGGCAGGTGATCTAGGCCAGCCTGTTCTCTGTAGCAAGTTTCAGGCCAGCTGAGGCTACAAGGAGACCCTATCTCAAAAACAAAACAACAAAAAACTTAAATTGGTACTAAAAGTAGTCTTTAATTGTCTAATTGCAATTCCAACAAGCTTCCTCTTGTTTTCAGGCAAACCGTACTTGCCCAATTTGCCGAGCTGATGCTTCAGAAGTCCATCGGGATTCAGAATGACCAGCCTAAGAGCACAAATGTAATTTGGGTGTTCCTCATCACATGTATATATGGACTATCCATTGAACTTAACCTGTGTGGCTTCCAGCCCTCCCTTTACCAAAAGGGTCAGTGGACCTTTCTTTGCACTGTGTGACTTAATCAGCTATAAAAGCTTACAATTAGTCTTCACAATTATGGGATTGTTATACTAACCGTGTGATTGGAACTCCAAAGACTTTTTCTTTAGCTTAATTTGTGTGTGCACTAACATTCCCTGGTTTTTGTGTGATCATTCCGAGTGTTGCTGCAAGATTACAGTGGACGTGATCTTTTAGCATGTGCTTTTTATAAAAAGTGGTAGCTCCAGATGATATAGCAATCTACCTTATATAGAGCCTTCAGAAACTGTGAGTGGAAATGAATGCGGTGTATGACTGTTGGTGATAAGTGTATCTGTGTGAGAGGCGTGTGAAACTTGCGTGGGGGCATGGTAGCTAATGTGCGTGTGAGATCCTATATACCAGCATGTACCAAGAATGTGTGTGTAGTTTTAATTATGCTGCAATGTATAATCTGGTGTGTTATTTAAACAGCACTAGTACTGTACACTGGTTTTTCCCTTTTTTGCTGTTGCACACTGAGTGCTAAGGGTGCATCAATTATAAGCACCAAATACTCCATCTCCTTCCCTCCCAATGAATGGAATGAGAAAGCCTTCTTCCTTTGCTCCAGGCAGCTGTCCCCTTTTCTCCTTCGGTGGTCCCAAGTGGGTCACTTAAGAAAAAAAAGTGTAACAGATTCTCCATTACCTGATTTTTTTTCGTTTTAAGTCTCCAACTTGCTGTTTCCAAAAAGAAGGTGCAATATCCTACATCATCAGTTAGCAATATTAGCATTTCAATCAATGATTTGAATGTTGATGCTTTGTTTTTCCTTTACATTTCCAGTAAGCTTCTTACGAGAAGTACCTGTGATTCTTTTATTTTTTTCTAATGTTTAGATTTGTAGTCTATTCTGAAGATGTTTGAGTAATATATTTCTAAGAATACCGCTGGTCCCATACGCTCACCTCCATTGACTTCCAACAGAACAAAATATGTTAAGTAAACTCAGCTTGATTTCTGATACGCGTTCTTTATTCAAACTTCAATGAGCAACTAAATTGTTTTAAGAAAACTATCTGTTCTTAGGGATTCATTTCCCACACTCCAGTTCTGAAAGTTGTCTGGTTGTTCCCTCAGTAAACGCTCTCTCATTGAAACCCTTGTTTCAGGATGGATCAAGTGCTGTGACAGCTTGTTTCTTAGGCCTGATATGCTTCGGCGTCTTATTGCTTCTCCTTTTCATTTTTGTTAGAATGAGAAAAGGTTAATACAACAGGTGCCCAGAATACTTGCAGTGCAAACGGAGATTTGATTTTTGTATAATAAGAAAATAATGCTGTCAAACAGGCATTGACCTTTATTTAATCTGAAATAATATGTAGCTATATGGTTTTTTAAAAACTGACTCTACACAGCTTGTTTGAAGTCATTTATTCAGCAATATTCGATTCCTTTCTCGTTCTCTCAGTGTGCTCTACATCGTCTTCTCTTCGGAGTTGTTTGCAGCTGCACATGCTGCATTATTCCAGTCAGGACTGTGATAACTTGCTGCCATCCTCACTCAGCGTTAACTGGCTCTGGGTCCATTTTGTACTCAGACAGTGTTAACTACTTGTTACTGCCATGCTGCTTGCCCTCTCTTGGAGTCTCTATAAGCTCATCGCAGGCTAGAGTTCAGTAAAGTCAATTCAATTCACACAGAAGCACAATTTTGTCCTCTTCCAGACACTGTTGCCTCTATCTAGTCAGACAAATAGGATTTTACCTACTTTGTGTTTGCCCCTAGATTTGTTTGTGTGTCAGAACTACACTTAAACAATGGAAAATGTACACGCTACTTCTTAATCATTAGGATCACCCCCTGCTGTTCCTAATGAATAAAAAGTGTGTTAAAGACCAAAATTATTGGCATATAATCAGCTCCAAATCACAGTTTAATCTTCATTTTTTAATTAAAAAATCATGTTTAAAGTGGCAAAATGCCCATCATATACATAGACTCTTTTATATAGCTGCAAAGAATTTGTATCTGTACAGATCTAACATAACACTACTGCACTCAGTATTCATTTTATTGAAGCATGCAAGTAAAGCACTTTTTCTAATTTATATAGCGATACCTAATTAACAGGGCACATTGTATTAATGACTAGGAAAAGTAGCTTTTTCTTTCCTTCTGACTATGAATTCTTGTCATAGTGACCCTTTTCTAGTAAATTTTTTAGAGGTAGTTGGCAATTTAGGAGGCAGCAGGGTCTGTTTTGGTAAAATCCTGTTGAATTGTTGTGTTGTAACTGATCTCTCTTTGGGAATGTCCTCTCTTCCCATGGGGCTCTCAGAGATGGTCCACACCTGCTTACTAAGCAATTGGTTAGTGTATGTTAGGAGCACACTTGCAGGTGATCTCTGGCTGGCCACGGTGGGCATCTTTGTGGCTAGGAGACAAAAAGCACAGTTGATTCCTGCCCACCCTGTTGCTTTGGGTGGTGTACCAAAAGCAGGTAGATTCTGGCTCCTTCACCTCTTTCCTTCTTACCATCTTAACTCGGATGTGGATTTTTTTTTTTTTTTTTTTAAGATTTAAGATATGGGGTTTTGTTTTGTTGTGGTTTTTTAGTGTTTTTTTATTTCCTTTTTTATTTTTCTTTTTTGGCATGAATCATCTTTGATATTTTTTTAACTGCCACCTCCATAGAACAACTCCCAAGGCCTCCCAAGTATCAAATCTCATACTAGGATTTTCTGCCCTGATTTTTTTTTTTTAAGCAAGATCTGGAAAATGTGAAAGCATATTAGATTTTATACATGCTCTGAATGTAATTTGTTAAAATTCTTAAATTTGGGCCTCTTGTGATAATTTTGAATGAGATCCGCCAACTCATTTCTGAGAATATTTTTCACAGATACCTGTAGGCCTTCACTAGAAAGCTATGTCCCCTGTTAGTGCATTTGGTTACCTCATTTTGCCATTTGTTTCAGATTATGAAAACTCACAGGGGTGTTTGTTGGAATCATTTGCTGAGTCATTTCCTCAAATCATATTCCATTGTATCAGTTAACAAATAGTTTTAAATGTATGTATTATAAATATCTGTAACCAAATCATTTGAAGGCTTGATAAATTTTTAACAAAGTTTGTACATTTTTTATGAAAGTTACTAGTAATGCTTTACTAAGTAGTGCAATGAATTTTTATTTTTAATCCCTGTGCCCAATTTTGGAGTTGAGAGGGTTGTTGGTAATAAATGTATGATGTACACTTAAAACATCTGTTGTGCTTCACATTCATATTTGGGGTAAGGGAAGGGGTTTCATGTGCAAGGAGGTGCAGGGGTGATGGGATTCCAGCTGGGCAGTAGAGCCTGCTGTACCTGCTTTATTGTCATCCTCACACAAACTAGAGTCACCTGGAAAGAGGAAGCCTCAGTTGAAGAATTGTCTCCATCAGGTTGGCCTGTGCATGTCTGTGATTACTAATAGATGTAGGAGGGACCCGCCCTACTGTGGATGGTGCCATATAAGAAAGGTAGTGGAGTAAGCCAGTGATCAGTGCTCCTCCTTCATGCTTTCTGGTTCAAGCTCCTACCTTGAGGTTCTGCCCTGGCTTTCTTTGAAGATGGACTCTAATCTGTAGAGTAAAATAAAAACTCTTCTCCCCAAGTTGCTTTTTGTCAGAATATTGTATCATAGCAACAAAAAACAAACTAGAACAACTGGGTTGAGCTGCTAGCTACATTGGTGTGAACAACTTAGAATCACAAGAATAAGCAGCATGTAATACAGTGGATATCCTTCCTTCTGCCAAGAAGATGGCAAGAAGTGTGAAACCACACACAAGTGCATGTATATCCAACAGTAGAGCCACATGTGTAGATAGTGGGGCAGACCTGTGCATGTAGGATTGATCTGGACCACAGACTTTAACCTTGCAACCAGAGTGTTACTGTTTATAATGTAAAACAAAGCTCACTAAGCCTTGTGTTCCTTTTGTGACCTGGGCATCTGACCTTATACCACTTTGCCCTCCAACCAAGATAGTGAATGAATGTGGGTATGCATGATTAACATCAAGGCCCTGAAAGCAGAGTGTTTATCTCTTTGGAAGCAATGAGAAAAATTGAGATCTGTGTGATCTTCTAGGCCAGGGATCAAAGGGCAAGATTTGCTGATAAAGTAAATCTTGGCTTCGGCCAGGCCATTTCATGCTGGAGATACCGGTTCAATGAAAGAATGAGCAAGGCCCTGGCTTGGAGCACAGTTCAGAGAGACCTCTGAAGGAATGGGTTCTTGGTAGTTCCGGGTCCATGCTTAGCCATAAAAATTTTTATTATATGTGTATTCCTGTATGTATGTAAGTAGTGCAGTGCCTACAGAGGTCAGAAGAGGGTGTTGAATCCCCTGGAATTGGAGTTACAAATGGTTGTTAGCCACCATGTGAGTGCTGGGAACCAAACCCCAGTTCTCTGCAAGAGCAGCCAGTGCTCTTAACTGCTGAACCATCTCTCCAGCCCCCTACTCTTGGCTTTAAAACTAATGCTAAGAATTGGGCTGTTTCTTGATTCAGGCGTAAGTGTAATGTGGCTTAGAAATACCACATGTACACATTAGGTACAGTTTACATCCAAGTTACTGTCAAAAATCTGGAAAGAAGAGCCCCTACTTATTTTCCACTCATAATTGTATAGTAGGTCTCCTTTGACTAAAGAAGCAGAATCAAACCCACTGAGTTACATTACTTGAGCAGGTGAGTTTAGTGTTGAGCTAGCAAAAGCATTCAGAAACGCTGAGTCATAAAATCATTAACCTGGAAAAGAGTTGTTCTAGAAAGCCATTGGACCCTTAGCACATACTTCTGTTAGCAAGAAACAGAGTCCTTGGGGTGGAGAGATGGCTCAGCGGTTAAGAGCACTGGCAGAGGACCCAGGTTTGAGTCCCAGCACCCACATGGCAGCTATGAACCGTCCTTAACTCCAGTTCCAGGGGAATCCGAAGCCCTCTTCTGACATCCGCAGCATTGCACGACATGGATGTACTCACATACATGCAGGCAATACACTTGTACACATAAAATAAAAATAATAAAATATTATAATTTTTACAAAGTGCTGAATTTTTTAACAAATGGAACTAGCCGGGCGTAGTGGCACATGCCTTTAATCCCAGCACTCGGGAGGCAGAGGCAGGCGGATCTCTGTGAGTTCAAGGCCAGCCTGGTCTACATAAGTGAGTTCAGGTCAGCTGGGACTACAGGGAGACCCTGTCTCAAAAAGACAAAAATAAATAATATTTTTTTAAAAAGAGCAAAAAAAAAAACCAATCCTTAAATCACATGAAATGCTGATGCTGTATAAAGGCAAGTCATTTCCCCTTTGTCAAGTCTTTTTAAATGTTCTGAGTAGGCTTTGGTAATACCCACAAGCACCCCAAACGTGCTACCTGACACCACTGGCTGCAATTAGTAACAGACCATAAGCCCCTGTTTGTACTAGAGAAAATTCTTAAGTCATCACAAGCGTGTCCGGGAATGCTATCTGATAGAAGTATAGCCACATAAGATGTTTTAGTGGCCACATTAAAACATCAAATTGATCAGATAGTGTTTACTTGACTGCAGGGCCCTGGTTTCAGTTACTTCCCCAACACTGGAAGAAGAAAAAGGTTGGCTTTGTTTTTGCTTGGTTTTGAGACTTGATCTCAGCGGTCTGCCTTTCCTCTTCAGAGTACTGGGATTAAAGGCGTGCACCACCAGGCCTGGCTTTTGTTTATATATTTTACTCCAACATTCAATATGTAATCACTAAATTACTGAGATCTATTTTCTCATACCAGGTCTCAAATCATGTGCATGGTACAGCACAGTACATCTTTCTTTGGACTAAACACACTTTAAATGCTCACTAGCTACAAATGGGTGGAGGCCATGTTGAATGGCTAAGGTCTAGATCAGAACTGTGCCAGGTTATCTGGTTTCTAAAGAACTGCACATTAAAGGTGGGTGGCATGCCTGTAGTCCTGGCACTCAGGAAATGTGAAAGTTTTAGGTCAGCTTTAGGGAGACCTTTTTTAAATGAACATTATAGGCCAGGCACTTGGGAGGCAGAGGCAGGTGGATCTCTGTTATCAAGGCCAGCCTGGTTTATATAGCGAGTTCCAGGCCAGCTGGGGCTACAGGGAGACCCTGTCTCAAAAAACAATGAACATTACCGTCTACTCCTCGACAACTTTTATGAGTACAAATGCAGAGGCTAGAGGACGGACAACTGTGGGTGGTGGTCCTCAGGTGCTGCCCACCCTTTTTTTTTTGAGATGGTCTCAGTGGCCTGGAAATCACCAAATAGGCTAGGCTGGCTGGCCAGTGAGCCCCAGAGACAGAGATCCTCTTGTCCCTGCCTTCCCAGCACTGGTACTACAAAATTACACCATCACTGGTTTTTTTTTCAATGTGGGTTCTGGGGAATCACACTTGGTGCAAGATAGGTATTTAAATGACTTGCACTATTTCCCCAGTCCCAGTTTTTTTAATAGAGTGCCTCTTATTTATTCTTTGGCCATTTCATACATGTAAACAGTGTGTCTTGATCACATCTCCCACCCAACATCCCCTTCCCACTACTGCTGACTGATCTTGGTGGCTTGATCTTGTGCAGCAGGTGACCATAGCTGCAGTGAATTCCTGCTTTCCTGCCTTGTGTCCAGAGACAGCATTTCACAGCACACCTCCCTGTCCTATGACTCTTGAATTCTTTCCACAACCCCTTCCACAGTGGTCCCTGAGGCAGCAGGGAGGGAGCCCAGCTTTTTAATTTTACCATTTTGTGCCTTAAACTACAGATTTAAAAAGCATTTTACTCTGAATAGCTAAATGTAACTTTTTTTTATTACTTTTATGTGTGTGAGTGTATTGCCTGCATGTATGTAAGTGCACTCATGTTGTACATTGCCCATGGAGGTCAGAAGTCATTGGATACCCTGGACTGCAGGTATTAGCTGCTATCTGGGTGCTGGGAACCAAACCCTAGTGTTCTGCAAGAGCAGCCAGCACTCTTAACCACTGAGCCATCTCTCCAGCCTCCTAAATGTAACTTGTTACGATACATAAAGATTCCCTTAAAAAGTGGAATGGTTGCTTTGAACATTATGTTGCCCTATGTAGCTACAACTCAAGAACAAAGCTCTGGAGCTGGGGAGTTAGATCAAGTGGTAGAGTGCTTAGCATGCAAAATCTTTGGGTTATGTAAACTGGGTATGGTGGTATATCCCTGTAATTCCAGCACTTGAGACGCAAGAGGATCAAGAGTTAAAAGTCATCCTTGATTATATAGCAAGTTAGAGGACAAGGGCTATAATGAGACTGTGTCCCCCTCAAAAACCAGATTTATTTGTTAGTAAATTCCCAAGTCATACATTTGCATAGCACCTTTAGGACTACCAGCAGCACACACATACAAAAATGAAAATCTTAAAAAAAAACTTGGCAGTCATAAAATTGGACATTCTGAAGAACGAGTAGCTTTCAACCACGTTCAGGTAATGGAGTGGATTCCCATTGAGACTGCTGTACAGTGCACATGGTCCCAACCTTTTGCATTTGGTTCTCTTACCTCTCAGACAGGCAGGAACATGGGACTAACAGTAGTAGCTTAGTGAAAGAGTGTTCTTTGGGCAAGTGTCAGTCCCTGTTTTTGATCCCCAGCACAGCCAAGCAAATTCCATCAAGCCCCTGGTTGTTGGCTTACAAATGAAAACAAGATAAAGCAAGATGGTGTTCAGACAGTAGCCTATTACCCCTTTCCTGGCACTCTGCCAACCACCAGGGTACACAACATCACACCAACAAGCTGTTTCTTGGCTTTCTGTGTTAGAATCCCTCCCCTCCAGCCCCCCTCCTTAGTTGTAAACATGCGATGTAGCAGCCACCCTCTTCCCATTGCCCTAGTCCTTTTATGTCTCAAGAATTGCTTTTATGGGCAGGGGATTTAGCTCAGCTGATAGGTTGCTTGTCTAGCTTGCATGAAGTCCTGGATTTGATCCAGCACTGTATTAAATGGCATGCTGGTGCATACATGTAATCCCAACACGTAGGAGGCAGGAGGATCAGCAGTTCAAGGAAATTTGAGGCCACCCTGGCATGCAGGGGCCCTAATATCAGACTACAGCTAAGTCAGAAGAAAATAATCTGCCAAAATGACCTAGCCTCACCAAGAAAAAAACGTGTTAGTGATTCAGGCTCAGAATACCCCAGTATGGTTACCGGTAAGGAGGAAAAATATATCACATTTAACCTAGTTCCAGAATCCTGAAGGAAATGGATTGCCAAATCCAAGCTACTAGATTTTAGTTGGGGAAACAAGCTAGAAAGAAAAAAGAGGACTTGAACCAGCCTGGACAACACAGCAGGACTCAGCTGAGAGGACCTGCGAGATGGCTCAGTGGGTAAAGCGCTTTTGTGGGTAATCACTGGAACCTGCATAGAGGTGAGAGGAGAGAACAAACTCACCAGAGTTGTCTTCTGGCTCCATGTGTATGCCATGACACATGCTCACCCCATGCGCACCCCATACTATAATAAAACTTGTTAGTAAAATACTTAAGTGGTAGGATGGGTGTGGTAGCACACGCCTGTAATCCCAGCACATGGGAAGCAAGACCAGGTGATTGAAACGTTTCAAAACACACAAATACCACTTGGTAGGTCCCACTGTGAGCTGCGTGCACTGCTATAAAATGAACAGGGCGCCTGCCCTCATCTCCCTTGGCTTCCTGGGCTGCACAGCCTCCAGTGTCCTGGTACCAGCACCTTCCCTGGGGTTTATATTGAGTTCAATACTGTATAACTATTAATACAACTGTGAACCTAAAAATTTACAGCCACTTTTGAAAGAGATGTATCCTTGCTCTGGAATGTTGCTGAATATGTTAAAGCTGTAATGAAATGCTGCTTCTCATCATGTGGTTATTAAATTTAACTTTTTTTAAATATTTTTATTTTATGTGTATGGTATTGCCTGCACGTATGTGAGTGCACCAGTGTCGTGCAATGCCGCGGAGGTCAGAAGAGGGCTTCGGATTCCCCTGGAACTGGAGTTAAGGACATTTCGTAGCCAACCATGTGGGTGCTGGGAATCCTCTGCAAGAGCAGTCAGTGCTCTTAACCGCTGAGCCATCTCTACGGCGCCTAAATTTAAAAGAAAAAAAAATTTTTTTAACTATTAAGTAAAAAAAAGAACAGGGCTAGTACGTTTTTGTCTTTTAAAGATTTTATTTTTATTTTATGTGAGCGTTTTCCCTGCATGTATGTAAGTGTACCACATGCATGTCTGGTGCCCATGAAAGCCGGAAGAGGGTGCTGGAGTCCCTGGAACTGGAGTTATGGGCAGGTGTTAGCTGCCACATGGGTGCTGGGAACTGAACGTAGGTCCTCTGCAAGAACAGCAAGCGATCTTTAACCACAGACCCATCTCTCCAGCTCCATTTTTCTCATCTTAAACTGTAACAGGTGCATTGCCATCACTAGTGTTACATAAAATTTCAAGAAGCCCCACAAATAAAACATTTCCCCCATCCAAAGTTCACCTTCAAAATATGAGAACAGCCATATTTCTGAAATGCCCCATGCTAATGAAAGGTAATTGTCCATGAAATGTACACTAGGTGGCACTATTATACAGCACCAAGTGCCAAGTATAAACCTGCACAGGTTTAGGATTAATGTAATTTTACAAAAGCCACTGTGTCCACACACCTGTGATACCAGCACTTGGGAGGCAAAGGCGGGAGGATCACGTTTGAGGCTAGCCTGGGTGACATAGTGTGATGTGAAGTTCTTAGAAAAAGGCCACAACTATGTTAAAGATTCTACAAGGCTGACTGATGAGACCTTCCCAATTGTGCTGAGTCTAAAAGTTGCCCACCTCTGTATCTAACCTAACTCTTGTGACTATCGGGGAAAACTTTTCAGAATGTATTAACTTACCACCCGACTAGCTTCCACCAACCCCAAAGCTTAAGAATGTTCTCAGGTAGCATCCAGGATTGACCCCTCTCACTGCATAAACCAGACATGGTTGTACATGCCTGTAATCCCAGCACCTAGGAGGTACAAGCAGGAAGATCAGGAGTTAGTTCAAGGTCAACTTCAACTACATAGCAAGTTCAAAGCCAACTTGGGCTACAAGAGCCTCCCATCTCAAAAAAAACCCACCAGAAACAAGGGTGGGGAGGTGGCTCAGCAGTTAAAGGCACTAGCTGCTCATGCGGAGGTTCCCAGCACTCAAGGCAACCAGCAGCTTTCCGGAACTCCAGTTCCAGGGGGTCCAACTCCTCTCCTGGCCTCCATGGGCATTGTACAGCAAGGGGGAACTTAGATACATGTAGGCAAAACATACACATAAAATAAAAATTAAATTAAAAATGAACACCAGGAGAGGGAGGCTGCAGAGATGGCTCCGTCACTAAAGTGATTGCTATGCAAGCATGAGGACTTGAGTTTGGATCCCCAGCACTATAAAAATCCAGCTGTGGTGGTGCATGCCTATAACCTCAGCATGGGAAGGCAGAGACAGAAATCCCCAGCACCCACTGACCAGCCAGCCTAGCTTAGTGAGCTCCAGGTTCAGTGAGACCCTGCCCAAAACATTAAGGTAGAGAGTGAGGAGTACACTGGGCTTTGACTTCTGACCTCCATACATACAAACATGGGCACACGCACACATGCATACACTACAAGCACACAGAATTTCATGAACTCTTCTGAACCCAAACACACTCTATAAACAGGAATTCATCACAGTCCCCACACTGCTTCTGTTGCTACCCTAGCTGATGCCCAGCTTCCTGGCCAGAGGCAACGACCATCCCTAGCCTGCTCATCTTTTGTTTTATTACACTTTGTGTGTCTGTCTGTCTGTCTGTGTATATTCAGTAGGTAAAGTTCAGAAGACACCTGCAGGAATTGGTTCTCTCCCACCATGTGATTCCTAGGGATCAAACTCCGGTTGTCTACCCATTGAGCATTGTCATGATCTCATTGAGATAGGGTCTCACTGTAGCCCTAGATGGCTTGGAACTTGCTATGTAGACCAAGCTAGTCTTGAACTCAAAGATCCACCTGCCTCCTGAAAGCTGGGATTAAAGGTGTGCACCACCGGGGCTGGAGAGATGGCTCACCGGTTAAGAACACTGGCTGTTCTTGCAGAAGACGCGGGTTCAAATCCCAGCACCCACATGGCAGCTAATAACTGTTCATAACTCCAGTTCCAGGGGATCCAACAGTCTCTTCTGTCCTCTGAGGGCATTGCACAACACAGGTGCACTTACCTACATGCAGGCAATACACATAAAAAAATAATAAAATGTTAAAGGTGTGCACCCCCATGCCTGGCTTCCCTTTACTTTTATAATCAAGCTTCTGCACAGCCTCCAAAAGGAGCCATTCTGACTATGGCTGCCTTCAGCCTCCACTCTACCCCAAACTCCAAACCTTCAGTGACTCTTTGCTACCTGTAAGACAAAGTCCTATCATAACAGATGCCCTCCTCCTGCCAAAGCCCCATCCTGATTACAGCAACCATCTCAACTCTGCAGGCACCTTTGTCCCTCTGCTCTCAATTTCCCTCAGCCTGCTGGGGACACTCTTCCCTTCCTTTCTTCTCTCCTGATTCAACTCCAAGTCATCTCTTCCAGAAAAGCTTTCTTGAATTCTGCCTACCAGCCAGTGAGCCACTCCAGCCTTTGTGACTGAAAACACATTGCTGATCTGCGCCGTTGCCTCCCCAGGCTAAGGCACATGTGTGCTTGTGTGTTTTCTACTAGCCTGTGAGTCCCTTGATCCTGCTCAACGTCTTCACCCTTAGGGCCCAGCAACAGGATCCAACCCAAGGTAGGGTTTGAATAGATAAAGGAATGAGGAATAACTCCTGAGTTTGAGTCACTAAGTGGCTGGTGGGGACAGTCCTGAGGAGAGAATATGGGAGGACAAACACTTTGAAGAGCAAGGGGAGCATGTGAGAACGAAGGATGATGAAGGCAGGCAGGGCAGGCTGCTAATGTAGCCCACTCTTGGCCTCCAAGTTGGGATCCTCCTATCTCAGTCTCCTAAATGCTGGGATTTCATACACCACCTCACCCAGCTTCCAAAGGACAGTTTGGATGACTGGTCTAGCACTCCAAAGAGGAGTGAGGCCCCTGGCTGTTAGGAACATTCTCTTGTGACAAAGGTTGACTCAGAAAGTCTCCTTTGTAACACAGCCCCACTGCTCCTTTACCTCAGGAAGAGGTTCCTCTCTGCAGGTTGGAGGCCAAGTCACTTGCCTTGGGGCAGCAGATAGCCCCTGGGAGCAGGAGGGCTGATGGCTGGGGGCCTGGGGCAGCCTCACTTTCTGCAGGAACTGGATCATGCTGTTCTGGACAAGGCTTCCTGGCTCTGGGTTGTGTTTGCCTTGCAAAAAGTAAACAGACACCACTGAGCCTTGCGTTGGAGAAGCCAGGGCTGCCGAAAGCCCCAGGCTCTGGGCCAACCACCTTCCCAGATCTGTGGATCTTAGGTTAAGGTCAGTGTTACCTCTCGCAGGTTGAGAGCTGCACATATCATATACACTGGTCACATCGGGGACCAGTACGGCTTATGCACTGGACATTAATGCCATCAACTCCTCCACAGCCCAGGCTCTAGCAGAGGTGACAGTTCCCAGAGGCCTTCACACACACACACACATACACAGGGACTGGTTCCTTGTGACTCTTCCTAGGGGCCCACCACCCAGACCCCACATGGAACCACAGCCACACTGGAGGAAACACCCCAGAGCTCATCTCATAAAGATGTTAAGGGAAAGTGTGGGCTCCAAGCAGCTCTTTCACCAGGGTTCTGTGTGCACATGGTGAACTGCGCAGTGAACAGCCTTGGGCCCTTCCTCGACAAGATGCCCATAAAGTGCTCTCACAGGCTTGCCTCCAAGTGTCCAGCCACATGCTGGGAGTGGGCAAATGAATTCATGGAGCTGAGTGAGTGCCATTGTGGGGTGTCTGTTCAGTTCACGTGAGGAAATCAACCGATACCTACTCAGAATGGGGCCAGGGCAGCAGTCACACTCATGCACACACAGCCAATGGGTGTCTTCTACAGAATTTAGAACTGAGAAAGAAAAGGACGGTGACTTTAGTGACCACTCTCTTCTGCCACAAAACCAGTAGAACAGGAAAACCTGTCTGCTAGGAAGGGAGAATGGAAATGAGAAAGAGTGAGGCGGTTGGTAGCCCACTTGTCTGGCATGCATGAGGGTGTGGGCTCAACCTCCAGGAACCTCATGCTGTAATAATCCCAACTCCTGGGAGGGAAGGGCAGGAGAATCAGGAGTTCAAGGCTCACCTCAGGTACAGAGAGAGCTCAAGGCCAGAAAACCTGAGGGGAGGAGGAGGTAAAGGGCTTGGTCTCAGTCTGGTTCCTGCATCTCTACCCTCAAGCTCCTTCGATCTTATCACACATTTCCCATGTTTGGACTCAGCTAACTTAACTCCGAGAATCATAAATCCATTTAGCAAAATGCCTGTGTGGAATTTGCTGAACCTGTCTGGGCACCATGTCCTCAGCCATCGGGTTGGGGTAATGAGACTGCACAGCAGGAAAGGGACCAAATAGAATCATTGACAGCACTAACGATTGAACCATTCATAGAACCATGCTCTAACCTATTACAGCTTCCCTAAGAGGACAAAGTCAACCCCTAATATATGAAGAGAAGATTCCGGGATTACATATTGATGATAGATGGTTGAAACTCATCACTGAATGAAAAATTAATGTTTCCCCTAAAAAAAGGACTAGAGCATTCAGTTGGTGGAGTGCTGGCCTAGCATGCACGAAGCTTTGGGCTTGATGCCCAGAACCTCATGAAACCAAGCATGGTGGAACACCTGTAAACCCAGCACTCAGGAGGTGGAGGTAGGAGGATCCAGAGTAGCTTATCAAAAGAGGAAGCGAGACCTGAGGCAGCGTGCTTGTGTCTCACTGTCACCAGATGCAGGCACATGCCAGTGCCATGCCCGCAGAACTGAGCCGAAGAAGCCCTCATTCTTTATGAATCACCTAGTTTCTGGTATTTTGCTATAGCAACAGAAAGACAAAGACACATCCTTTGTGTCTGCTCCTGTGATTGACTTGGGTTTTCTGTTGGTGTTTTTCATTTCTGGCTTCTGTACTGATGACAGCTGGGCCTCTCCTATTAATTTCATGCCATTCTCCTGTGGCTCGGGGATACTTAAGGAATAGTTTCTTGAAATCTGCAACCTGGGCTAGCCAGCCTCCAAGATGGCCCCAGGAGCCCCAGTCCTGTTATTCACCCTCTGAATCTGTGCCAGGCTTGGTCTGTGTGACCAATAACATTTGTCAAAAAGGACGTTTCTGTTTTTGGTAGTCCAGAGACTGGCTGTCGATCGGGCCCCGGGGGAAGGTGGGGAATGAGGATCCCAGGTGCTCTTCTGAAGAAGGTACAAGCTCACAGGAGACACTTCTCTCCCATAGAGATGCCAAGACCTACTGCCTCAGCTGTAAGACAGAAGACTTGCTCCAACCTTCAAGACCTGCCAGAGATGGGAAACCCACCGCGCTGCCCTCCACAGATCTGCAGACTTGCTCTGCAAGGGGCTGTCTTTGGCTAGAGCCCTAACACTTGCAGCCTCTCTGCTGGGCACCCTGAAGCCTGCTGAGAACCCAGAGCTACAACACTACCAACACTACCAACCTCTCTGGACTGGTTAGCTGCCTTCTTCTACTTTTCCATTCAAGTTTCCATTCTTCCATTTAAATTGTTCCCACATGGCAAATAAAAATTCCACTTGTAGGGCTGGAGAGATGTTTCAGTGGTTAAGAGCACTGGCTGCTCTTGCAGAGGATCCAGGGTTCAACTCGCAGCACCCACATGGCATCTAACAGCCGTCCATAACTCCAGTTCCAGGGGACCTAACGCCCTCTTCTGGCCTCTACATGTTCGGGTACACTTAAATACATGTAAGCAAAATACTCATACACACAAAATTAAAATAAAAAGTTCTGCTTATTTGTTTTCCCTTCACTGTCTGCCCATTCCATTCTTAGAGGGAGGGCAAGACTAGGACCCACTAGAAAATCAACTGTCTCAATGTGACACTGATAGGGTAAGAGGGGCCCCCAGTGAGGCTCAGAGCCAGCACCAGGACAGCCTGAGGTACTGTTAGAAATATGTTCAGGAAGCCGGGCATGGTGGCACATGCCTTTAATCCCAGCACTTGGGAGGCAGAGGAAGGCGGATCTTTGTGAGCTCGAGGCCAGCCTGGTCTACATAGTGAGTTCCAGGACAGCTGGGGCTACAGGGAGAACCTGTCTCAAAAAGACAAATTATATAGATAGATGATAGATAGATAGATAGATAGATAGATAGATAGATAGATAGATATAGATAGATAGATATAGATAGATATAGATATAGATATAGATATAGATATATATCAGGGTCGAAAAGGAGGAGACCACCAACACTCCAATTAAAGCATCTCGACAAGGCAAACTTTTACTTCTGATCAAAAGGGTGCACTACTCACAGCAGAGAGATGAAGGGCAAGCACACGGAATGGGATCTGACACATTTTTATCCCAATTCCTAATGCAATAGTGCTGTGTCTTTTCCCACAGTACTATCCAACCTCACAGTCTTTCCTGGTTGGTGTAGATTCTCACAAAGGAATGAAAAGGGGACTGGGAGTTTGACCAAAGAAGGGGAAGGGCTCAGCCTTCCCATCACTACCAGGTCATCAATTCCTGGAATGCACCCAGACCCTTTTCCTTCTTTTGTAACCAAAAGTATTACAGAGTGGGTGTTAGGGGTGAGCAGAAGATTAGAATCTCTTGTCATAAATCAAGAGTTTTTGTAGGGTGGGGAGGGGCCGATCAAAGATTAGAGTACCTTAAGCTGGGCATTGCACTCCTTTAGTCCCTGCACTTGAAAGGCAGGCAGGCAGATCTCTGTGTCAAGGCCAGCCTGGTCTACATAGTGAGTTCCAGGCCAGCTGGGGCTACAGGGAAACCCTGTCTCCAAAACAAAACAAAACAACCCCATTGGAAACAGACCCTTCTGAGGCCTGCCACCCCTGCTGCAGGCAGACATACTGTTCCTGTCCTCCAAGATCCTATTCATCTACTCTCATCTGAAATCTGTTCTCTACAGACTTATTTTCTTCAGAAGACTGCTGTTGGTTGGCACTCTGAGACCAAATGAGAACAACCTCTTGTTGGCATCCATAGCTTCCAAGAGTTCAGAGCTTCTACTGTCCCAATCAACTGTCACCCCACATGGTGACCTTCTATTTTGCCGTGTGACTTGTTGCTCCTTTGTGAATGAAGTCCTGATTTGTTCACCCTTCACTATCTACTCACTTCATTCGTGGAGGGAGCAAGACAAGAACCCAAAAGGAGAGAAAACTGGCTCAACAGTGTATGCCCTGGGAGTCTGACACACCAAAAACCCAAAGTAGTCCCCCTCAGGGAGAAATGTACTCACAGGCTCCTGATTTATCCCTCTTTTTTATTTTTCATTTATTTATTTTATTTTATTTTTGTCTTTTTGAGACGGGGTCTCCCTGTAGCCCCAGCTGTCCTGGAACTCATTATGTAGACCAGGCTGGCCTCAAACTCACAGAGATCTGCCTGCCTCTGCCTCCTGAGTGCTGGGATCAAAGGCGTGCACCACCACACCCGACATTTTTAAAAATATTTTATTTATTCTTTTTATTTTATGTGTATGAGTGTATTGCCTGCATGCAGGTAAGTGCACCTGTGTTGTGCAATGTCCACAGAGGAAGAAGAGACTGTTGGATCTCCTGGAACTGGAGTTATGGACAGTTGTTAGCTGCTATGTGGGTGCTGGGATTTGAACCCAGGGTTTCTGCAAGAGCAGTTAGTGTTCTTAACCACTGCGCTATCTCTCCAGCCCTTTAAAAAAAATTTATTTTCATTTTATGTGTATGAGTGTTTTGCCTGCATGTGTATAAAGTGCACATGTGTCATGCAGTGCCCATGGAGGACAGAAGAGGGTATCAGATCCCTTGGAACTGGAGTAACGGATGGTTGTTAGCCACCATGTGGGTACTGGGATTCAAACCCGGATGTCCTGCAAGAACAATTAGTGCTCTGAGCCACCTCTCCAGCCCTCGATTTATCCCTCGAATTGTAGTTAATAATTGCTACATCATCCGTTTCACCAAAACTGTTAAGCAGATGTGATGCTCTCTTAGCCCCGAGGCATACGCTGGGCTGTCCAGTGGCAAGCTCCTCCCAATTTGGTAAGTGGAACTTGGGGACCAGTTTGGGGACAAGTTAGATGATCTAGGAAAACCAAAGTGATAACTGTTTACAAGAATC